ATTATATCGATTCGTTGAGTTTTTCGTTTAATATTTATGAACAGAAAGTTGGGTAAATTAAAACATAATTCAATTAAATTTAAAATTGCTGTTAAAGATTTAAAAATGATGCGCAGTTTCCAAACAAAGAAGAGTATCATTTTTCCATAATTTCCATTCGAGAGAAAATTCTGAAAAAATATTTTCCCCAATGATTTATTCCAATTTTTATCGCCGAACATCCAACTTAACTCGACAAAATCCTGACCAAACTTGCCTCCAAAGTTTCCATCATTTCGGTTCAACTATAGATTTGCTTTGAAGAAGCAAGAAATATGAAAAGTAATGATCACCAGAAATGCTGTTTTTTATATTATTTTGTTTCTTTTGCTTCATTTTGTTTTCTTTTTGCTCTTGAAATTATTTCTTTAGTAATTTTTGTTTCTTTCATAGTTGATTGTTGCCATGAAATATTAGCTTATAATGAAAAAGCCAAACCTTTTTGATTCATTGAAACTGCGATCAAATTGTTCATTATCATACTTTGAGTAGAAGTTGCTTTTGACTGGAAAAAATTGTTTTCTTTTTTTTATCATAAATTTTGTTTCTCTCATCATCCTGTTCAACTTTTTTATTCCATGAAACATTCTGAATACTTTCATCATCATCTCACTGATGATGAAACTTTACACTTTTCGCTCAATCTCAATACATTTATATTGATTCTTTCGTTATATTAGGCTAGTCACCCGAGAATCGGTCGTTAACCTTGCCTTCATTATTATTGCTTCTCTTCTCATCTTGTTTCGTTTTATTTCTCATCATCATGTTCGTCTTATTTCTTTTTCATCTCCCAACTCATTCTGTCGACCTTGTTTACAACAGAAAAGACCATAACACTTCATGATAATGACCTGGTTCTTTGGTCAGGCAAGGGAAACCTCACCAGCTATTAGAATAATGGTCAAGCTTATTCACAGCAAAGTCAAATGAAATATAGATCTAAAACATTTCAAATCATTTTCTTGTTACTTTGATTATATTTTTGAAACAAGATACAAGAAAAAGAATAAAAAAGTTGAAACGAAATAAACTGAAATAATAAGCTATAAATTAGTTAAAATTTACTTAACTCGATTGACGAATAAACAGAAAAGGTTTCAAGCCATTTCACGACGCACTCTACTTCATTCCATCCCTGGTTAACCAAAAATCGTGATAATATTGGCGAATTAAAGCGATCATAAGATTTTCGCAAAACTCGCAGAATTTTCAAGTCGAATTTGAGAGTTTCAGTTTTATTCTGGAAAAGATAACATTTTTACTGATTTTTTTGGTCTGAAATTTGCGCAGTTTTTGATCGAAGCTATCAAGTGTTTGAATTTTGGTTGAATGAGAAAATTACATTAGAGGTTTGAGGAAAGAGTTTTGCTGAGTCAAGATTGCGCTGTCTGTAGATCAGTATCTTCATGTTGGATGAAAAGTCGTGAAACTGACAGAAACATTAGTTGTTCATTTATCATTCAACAAGTTATATCAACTATTTGTAAAAATGTTTTAAAAGTTGGCTCTATAAACGAACCTAGTTTCATCTTGTATTACAAGTTATTATTAATACCATCAAATTGATCAATTACACTTTCCAATCTTGCGATTTAGTCTCATCAGTAATGCGTTCTATCGATAATATCAGTCTAGATAATATCGATTTCCAATCTTTAATAATCTTTTTAATAGCGATCCAGAATGTTCTCATTGATAAATATTTCAAATTTTGTTCAAATTTTCACCTAATGAACTTGCGACTGCTTAATAGCGAATTCAATCGGACGCTCAATCAAACATATTTTTACACAAAACTTCGTCAATCGTCAATCCAACAAATCGTCAAATTTTTTCTTTTGAAGTTCAAGTCGTAATTTATAATAGATTGGAAAACAGTTTTGATGAAGAAATGGCGAAACTAAAATATTATTGAAAGTAAATTAAAATGATGAAAGACGCAGAATTTTTCAATTTGATGAAAGTTTCTCTTCAAGTTATTCTTAATATCAACTTGACTGATTGAATAGAATCTTTGATCATTCCATTCCAATTCGGAAATGCAAAATCCTCTAAGGATATCCGAGTTGAAAATTCAGTGTCACCAGGAAAAAGAGAAGCTGCTCGAAAAAAGAAGATAAAATCGGCTGATGAAGAAAAAGATGAAATATTCTGATTCATTATGACAAACACTTTGATTTACCTTTCGAAAGTTCATTTTAATGAAATCACAATTTCGGTAAAATAAAAAGCAAGTTTACTTGAAAAGATAATCACAAGGAAATGTTGTTAAATACTGAACAAGTTGCGTGTAAACATGTAATTGAATTGGAATGAGCAGAAATCTATAAAATCAGATAAACTGGCCAGTAAAGAGCGCAATGAAAAGGTAAAGCCAAAAAAAGTGGAAATGAATAAATTCCAATGGAGAATATATTTATTCATTTGATGAGCAATTTCATTCTTCATCATCATTATTACACTTAACCATTACCATTATTATACTCTGAATGATTACCATCGACTTGATGGTTCCTTTGAATGGCGAAAAGAAGAAAAAGTTTTGCAAAAACATTTCTTCACCTTTCATCACAAGATAACCACAAAATATAAAAAATATTTTATGATGAAAACAGAGGAATGATGATATTAAAGTGAATTTTGTGTGTTTCCCTGCTTCTTCCTTTCGTCTGCTTGTTTCAATATTATCACCAACAAGTTGGTGAAACTGGTTCAACTCATCATTATGATTGTTGTTTCTATAAGATAATTAGATGAAAATGTATGATTCCCTATTAAGCAAATAATTTAACTTGATTTGGAGTCATAAAAGTGTCAACTGCAATTGGAAAGACAGCGATGAGTAACATTATGTAATTAACCTTTAAATCAACATTATTTTTCTCTCCACTTTCAAATAACATTTCATCTGTTGATGATTATTATTATCATTATTATTTATTGTTCACTTGCAGCAATAATTTTTGCCTTTCAAACTCCAACTTTGATTATACTTTATAATGTTACCAAGTAAAACGATAAAAGTACACAAATAAACAAATAAAAACGATGAGAGAAGAAAAAATATCAACATTATTTTTCTGTCGTCCAACCATTTATCTGCAAGATTCCCTGTCTATAGAGCATTCTCAGTCTTCTTTCCTGTCTTTCAACCATTTAATATCTCATGTCTCATACAGAAGTTTAGTATTTAGAACTTTCCAAATCTATCAAAATCTCAGTTGCTTCCATGAAAGCTTTTCCGTTATCCGAACATTTCTTTCAGTGTGAATCAATAGACAAGAGATTATCTAAAATTTTTAGAAAATTTCATTTTTCGAATATAATATCATTTTGTAAATTCTTTATTTTAGGAATTCCGCCAGTAGAACATTTCAAATTCTGAAAATCTCGTTCAATGATTTTCCATTTTCCAAAAATTCTTTGCAATGAACATTCTATTGCAAGATATTCTCTACAATTTCGAAAAATATTCAAGTTTCATTTCGAATATTAAAATAAATTTTGGAAAATCTATATCTCAGAAATTCTGTATTCAGAACTATCCTCAACTAACAAAATCTCAGGTGTCTCAAAAAGATTTTTCGCTAAAATCGAAATGAAAAATCAAAATTCTCTTACAAGAGATTCACCAAAATTTTCAAAAAATAGTGAAGAAATTTGATTTTCGAATATTGAAATATATTTGGAGAAATTCTCTATTTTAGAAATTCTGAATTTGGAACATTTCAAGTCTACGAAAATCTCAGTTATTCGCAATAAAAGATTTTTTATGATTTTTTATCGATGAAAGTTCCATAGACAAGAGATTCTCTAAAATTTTGAAAGATTCCATTTTTTGAATATTCAGCTTTCGAAAGCTTTTTATTTTACAAAAAAATGTAGAAAAATTCTGAGCTACGAAAACTTCATCTTGAAAGTGCTTTTGGTTCTTAAAATTGCCTTTTTCCCATTTTATAAAGAATCTCAATTCTTGTGAAATTGCTTGCCTTGAAACCTTCCCAGTGTTGCAAAAGTCGTTTAAGAATCTGTTTCATTGAATAATTGTCATGAAGCAACGATAAGACTTTGTGATAAACTTGAAGGTCAATACTAACCAAGGATTTTGGTTTTTTTTCTGGTCAAATATGATAACCAAGTGTGATATAAGCTTAAATGAGAATGAAATTTATTAGCTGTTAAACGTATCTGTCACTTTGTGATTTCCTGATTTTCCAAGATAATTTCACCTTGACGATGAAAATGTTGATTCTCTTTCTTTCCCTTTAATCCTTTCTCATCCTTTATCTTCATCGTTCCCTCTTCACCAACCTTTCCTCTCTTTATTGGTGTCTTTCCAAGTTGAGGAAACATTTGTCACAGTAAACGTCAAGAAAACTTGGTAAAGTCATGCAAAAGGCTTATTTTCAGCTGAGCTTTACAACCTTCATCATCATCTCTTCCGTTTGTATCAACATGATCTTCATCATCATCTTTTCTCATCTTTTCCAATCTTCCTTCATCTTTCCCTTTACTCCCAAAGATATTGTATAAATAAATTTTACAGTCCAAGTTAATCTGAAAATTATTTGTCAATCAAGTTTCACCCAAACCAAACAAGAGTGTTAATAATGACAAAACATTTTTAAATGTCAATTTACTTGAAATAATTGAACTCAACCTTTCACTGTAACTTCATTTGTTCATCAATTATCGCATTTTCAGTTCACTTTAAACATTGAACATTATTTACTCTTTGACATGAAAGAGACAAAATCAGACTGAAGAGAAAAAAAGCGAATCAAAGTTCCACAATTTAACTGTAATTTATTTGACCAAGAATTAAATTTAATGGTCAACATCCAAAAGTTGATTGTTTATTTTACCATCAAATTGATGACCATGAACATGATAACTCTTTTCCATTGAACACTGAATAACTTTGAAATTAATTTCTCCTTTTCTTTTCCTTCCAACAGAAGAATCAACTTTACTTTCAAATCCTTATTATCCATATAAAAATGGTTCTTCAGTTAACATGGTACATCATATTAATCAACCCGCTGTCTCGGAATTCATTAACCATCAGCATTTTTACGAAAAGATAAGAACTGGTTTCGGAGCTAAAATTGATGGAACCTTAATAACCAATAACTACATTAGCAATGGTCAATTAGTTCGCGCTTTAAATTACCGACAATAAATGGTTGAAGGAACAGCAGCAAACGACAAACTGAAAGACAAAACAATAAGAAAGAAATCGCCTAAATTCGTTACATGAAAACAAAAATTCTTCTATTAACAATTCTTTTGTTTCTTTGTGTTGAAACCCTTTTCCATCCTTTATTTTCCTTGCATCTTCCTTGACCATATTCATATTCACTTTGGTCAACGTTAATGAGCATCTTTGGAAGGCAGAAAAGGCTGGTTTAAGTGAAAAGACAACAAGAAAAAAAAGAGTGAAATTAATCATGAAAATAGTGAACAACAAATTAAAGGTAATTGAAGATGAACACTGAAAGACAAAACCAGGAATGGAATCACAAAAGCCAAACGTAATAATGTTTACGATTAGGAAACAAATTTTAGCTCTTTTAATCAACTCATCAACTTTGCTGTTAATCATTCATCTAATTGTCAAACTTAATTCTTCGCTTTTCTGGTCTCATCTCAATATTTTAATATCGTCCAATCGTTACACAAAAATTCGTTATTCTGGACTTTTCCCTTTTTCCTTCTTTATCTCCAATCTAATTGGTAAATTAATATACAAAATTGACACTTTATTTTAACCCAAAAACCCAATTTAACCCAAACACACATTTAAACTGTTCAACAGTTGATAAGCGTAAAATGCAGACACAAATTGAGAAAGTTTGTCAATTGGAAGAAAAATGTTAGAAAAAAGTTGACAAGAAAACCCAAAAATGAAAAGAATTGAATCAAATTATTGCGAGTTTAATGTTTCAGAGTTTATTCAGTCATTAATGGAATGATGAAGTGTCTTGATACACATTGAATAACCATTTAGATGATGAGATTACAATGTTTAGTCTTGGAGACAACCTGTTGTTGACTTTGCGTCGCCATTTCGGTTAAACATTTACAACAAATTCAATCAACTTGATTCCAAGCCAATCTAATTTAACAGTCTGTTTGTTGATCTTTTCCTTGTTGTCAACCTTTTCTCTTGTTCATCATCTTTTCCTTTATCTTCTTCTTCCTTCTTCTTCCAACCTCAGCTTTTACCTGTTCATTATTCCAGTTGGCTTTTCCCATTCATTTTGATACAATCTTGCTGAATGAAAGGCGTTATAATTGAATAATGGCGATCAACAGTTAAATGTTTAAATTTAAATGAAAACCACTTTCATTTGCCTTCATCTGATTCTTCATTTTCCTTTCATTCTCCATTCTCATGAGAGTTCAGTGTCATCATCAAATTATCATCAAGTGATAACAAGTGATAACAGGTAAACTTCTTGAAGCAAAGTCAATGAAATGGAAGAAATTGTATTAACTTGCTTCATCTTCTTCTTCATCAGCAACAATATTCTCATCCTTCTAACCAACAGAACTTATCCTTCCCTGTTTGGAATCAATCAAGAGAAAGAAGATGATTGGATTGATGAGTTAAAGGTTAATAAAAAAGATGAACGAAGAAGAAGGAAAAGAAAGTGTTTAATTTGGATGATAAAGACGATTGAATATCACCAAGGAATTTGATGAACATGTTGCTGATAATGAAGGTGAAGTTGAAAGGCAGTGACCCTTAAAGGATGATGAATCCTGAAACAGTGAACGCGTTAATATCTGTTTATTGGTTCATAAAAGTAGTCAAAGGCTCTGGAGGACATTTCATGGGATAAATAATCAACATGATAATGGAAATGGAAAGGAGAACAATTTTTATGCAAATTGGTGATAATGTCCAATGAAGAAGATTCATATTGATCATATTGGATGATATTGTGATGATGAATCCAGTGAACATTGAACTGTCTCCTGTTTACTTATGGCTATTGAGATAATAACTTGAGGCTGTCCAAATGATGAACCAATGAATGAAGGAAAAGATGATGATCAAGATGAACAGATCATGAACAGATGAAAGATTAACATCTTTATTGGACGTGGAACCAACTCTGTAAATAATTGATCTGTTGGTAATTTAATTAATCATTTGAGTTGAGATGGAATCAATTTCTTTCATATTCATGGAAACTTTGAGATTGATGATGAAAGAATGAATTTAATAGTGAAAAAAAGGAAACATCATTTCAGGCTAATTTTTCTCTCCAAATTCACATTCTTTTACCATGAAAGGAAAATTTCGTCAACTTTCTTGTTCCATCAAAATTGAATGACGCAAAAGCTCATCATTTAACATGATTAACAATCATCTTTATCATCGCTCTGATTCAACCTTTGGAAAAGTGACTTGAAGTGAAATCTTGAAACATTATTTTACGATTTAAATATTAACTCGACTCTCAATTTGATTCATTTGATTGCTTTTCATCGCTCAATCGGTTAATCATTTTTTTCTCATTGAAAAACTTTCTCAATTTGCTTCAATTTTAATTTACTTTTTTTAAATTTTAAACAAAAGTTGAAAAGCTTCTTCTGAAAGGCTGAATTGAAACAAAAGACAAAAAAAGTTTCAGTCTCTTGAATATCATTAAATATAAATACTAATGTAAAACATTTCATGTGAAAATGTTCAACAACATTCTTAGATATTTCAATGTCAATTAATCCCATTTTTCATTGTTATTCAATCATTTTCTGGTTCTGGTTCTAAACCAGACATTAACCCAGGATTCGTCAAACGAATCTAAAAATAGCCCTTAACACCCGAAACACACCCACGTCCATGCTCACACTTTGCGTACTTTGACACTTTTCAAGCCAAAAGTCGAACCGAAACATTTTCACTCGAGTTCAATAGCTTTGGAAGATTGCAAAATTTTCTCATCAGAATTCAGGTGAATCCAGATTACAATCCAATTAAGAGTTTGATTATGAAATTGGATTTTCAAGGGAAAATGAAAGCATTTTGTAAATAGAAAGATTATTTTCTTGAGTTTCTTTTCAACGAAATGAAAATCACAAGTTGAAATGATTTCATGATAATCAGAGAATGTTGAAATTGAGCGAGAAACTTTTGACTTTTGATTTTCACAATTTCGTTGAAACTTTACTTTACCAACAATTGCTTCAACAAGTCAACCCAATGAGCAACAATATCATCAAATGAATCTCAAGTTTTCAGGTGAACTCTCAAGTTGTCAAAGTTTCAGTTTTCTCTCTTTTCTAGCCGAATTATTTACCTTCATTTAACCTTTGGTTTTATTTAGCAATTGAAATGAGAAGAAAGGCCAAAATTTAATTTTATCCATTTTTGCCCTTTTCGCCGAGTTCGATCATTGAAATGAAAAATATCCAAAACTGAATCAGAGACGTTTGAGAAACAGTTTGATACTTGAAACTATTTGTTGGTAAAAATGTAAAGAAAGGTTAAACTGAATGGAGACCAAATTGTCACACTAAATGTCTTTACCAAACAACATTGAAAATGATTGATGATTATTGTTGCTTACCATTTGTCATGCATTTTAAGAGCAACTTTATTCTTCACTGAATATTACCTTTCAAAGTCCTCTGATCAATTCCATCATGAACAATCACCATTCAGATGTTCCCTGTCCATCCAAGTTTCCATCTTTTATGGAACATGAAAAAACACATTTTCCCATTTGCTATTGAAACATGAAATTTCAATGAAACACACTTAAAGATATTTGCTTTGAAACTTCAAAGGTCGACCTGGTTGAAAAGGAAAACAAAAGTACGCAAATTATCCCAAAAAATTGAATTTAATTTGTTAAATCAACTTATCATCATTTCAATGCTAAACTCAAAATCATTAAATTCCAGACCAAAACAAATGAACAGCAATTTTTTGACAAAAATACCAAAAAATTGAAATTAAATTTTTCTTGTTTCTTTCAAATCTCTTTTGCTATGAAAAAAAAACCGTAAAACGGACAAAATTGTTTTTTGCTCAACAATTATGATTATCAAATGTTGAAATGATAATAAGTTGATCATTTTGTGTAAATTGTTTTCGTCTTTTCCTGTTAATTTCAATTTTCCTTTTTTCCCTTCTTCTTCTTCTTTCTTTGCCTGAAAAGAACTGAATAATCCATTACTTAAGAATGATGGATTTAAAACATAATATCTTGTCATTTATCCTCTTCAATCAATTCCTGATTCTCACTGTAACCTGACTTAAGCCTCAAATGCACACACAAATATTAATAAGTGAAAGATAACAATCATGAGAAGAAGAAATGAATGCAGAAAATGAGAACATCTTGAAACATTGACAATGTGATTGTTTGAATCAGAAGATAATCAAGAAATGTTACATGAAAAGCCTGAATTATCTTTATTACTTCAACTAGTCAACAAATATGAAAAGAATAGTGAGAAATTGAATGAAAAAAAATATTAATAATAATTGATCAAAAAATAAGAGTAAAAAATGTAACTTGGAAACTCGAAAGAAATGAAAGAATCACTTCTTTTTTTCGATTGTTTTTTCCTTCTTTTGTAACTGCAATTGTCATTGGAAAAGAGCTTATTTTAATCAACAATTTATATCATCAATGTGACTGTACAAAGAAGATTAAACAATCTGAACGATTGTCATTCGAATGATATTTTTGGCCCAACCTGGAATCGCAACTTTTCTAACTCATTTTGGTCTTCTGGAAACACACAAACAAAAGTTACGTTTTTACCGATACAAATTGTACTTTAATGAATGAATGGAAATGAATTGTCAATCCTTCTTTATCCTTCATTTTAACCCAATTTTGAGTTGAATTTTAGTTTTTCACTGTTTTTAGTATCCAAATGTGTCAATGTTGTGATCAACTCGAAATTGGTTAACTCATTTAATTGATTAGTTTCAAGATTTTTTCAACTTGAAATGAATGTTAAGATTGTGATAATGAAATGAGAAACAACAAACTAAATGTCATTTGAGCATTTGTTTCAGTTAATCTCAATGGAAGGAAACTGTTAAACTCAATTTTCCTCCTTTTTTATTCTTTCCTTTCAATATTAATATACCAATAATTATAATCTATGCTTCTTTCCTTCTACTTCATCATGTTTTCAGTTTGTCATGAAAATTGATTTGAAAAGGTTGAGCAAAAAAACATTGTTTTTGGCAACAGAAATGAGTTAAATTGTTTCAATCTGGAAATGGTTCACCTTTTTGTGACTTCATTAGACTGAATCAAAATTTGATTTTCATCTCTCATTTTGTATTATTTGCCATTAATTTTATCCTTTTCACACAAACAAAGGATTCTGTTTGTCAATCAAATTTTGAAAAGCCACAAAATTGTGAACAAGTCAGTAATTGTCTGGCAACAGTGTTCATTGAAAGTTGTTTGTCTCGCCTTTAAATGATTTTTATTCAATTTGTTAACAACAATCAAGATTCTCGAGTCAAGAATTTAAATCTTTTTACTTTCATCTTCTTTTTTTCTGAGCAAACAACATGAGAGTAGAAAATCAAAATTAAAATAAAAAGGCAAGAAAACACTTTATTGTGTTTTTTGTTGTGTGTTTGTTTGTGTGTTTGTGTGTGTATTTAAATCCAACCAAAGCTTTTGCTTACACAAACCCAATCAACTTGAAATCCCAATTTACTTTTTTCATTGTAAAACCGAAATCACATTTTCCCTCATTCTTTTTTTTCAATTTAAATGTCCCTTGTAAAGTTATTTGTACCAATCAAGACTTGAGTTAACTTGAAAAAAAGCAAAAATCAAATAGAAAAAATATTTTCAAATTGAAATTGAAAAGAACCAGAAACAACTCCCAGATCGTGACGCCCTCTTCTGGTAGTTAAAGTGACCTGTTATTGGTATAATTGTCTTGACCAGATGAACCAAGAGAGGGCAACACAGTCTATGGATGGTTCTTTGAAAAAACCGTTCGTTTTAATCAAACTTTGGGTTTCGCTTTTTATGGTAATTTTTGTTGCCGGTCGAAGTGCAAATCGAAGGCATTGGTCTTGTTAAAGAAGGACAATTTAAACAATAAAAGGCTTGTGGCTGCAAGTATAAAAACAACCAATCTACTCAGACGGTGTTTGGCTCAAAGCTTTTAAATAACTCTCGTCTCTAAACATTTTCCATGTGATTCTCATCATCTTTTAACTTATTTTACTTTTCTTCACTCTGGTTTAATTTGTTTTCTTTTGTTGTCTTTTTGTTCCTAATTATATTGTGCTAACACACTTCATTTTGTGTATTCAATGTGTTTGTTATCTTAACTGCTCACTTTCTACTTCTGCTTCTTCTAAGAATCACCTCAACATCACCCTCCATCATCTATCAGCTATGAGTCGAAGATTGATGGCAAATTATATAAAAAAGGCGAATTTTCTTGGTTATAAATCAACATCACTCTGATCCAGTTACACGACTGTTATAAATTCAATTTCTGACATTCATACTTAGCTGTGGATCATAGCCAAAACAAACCGTATATCAATTAGCTTACGTGTTGGTGGAATCAAAGAAGAATGATTGGCTTTCTCATTGGAAATTGAAATATAAAAACAAAACAAGATAAATGTTTTTTTTCCTTGGTCTTCATTAAACAATTTAAATTAACCTGTTGATTGTTTCTCCCAATTTGAGGCCAACAAAAAGCGTAACGGTTAATTGTTTATCGTTTCTCTTACCTCTTCTGTTATTGTTCCTGTTTTTGTAACTCCAAGTCAAACATTGTTTTGTTTTTTCTTCCTTTCAATCTTATTCTCTCATTCTCATCATTCTAGAACTAAACAACTCGACCTTTAGATATAATTAAATAAATTGACAACAAAGCAAAATGTTACAAAAAAATGAATCATGAAACATTAGTATAAGCAAACAAGAAAACAAACCTCAACCAAACTATTCGAATTGCATTTCTATGTATTAATTTCAAATTAACCAATAAAATTGATTGTTCAATTAATATTTGCCCTTTTGTTGCACACTTTCAATATGCTATTGTAGACACATTTAGCAATAACAATTTACAGATTCAAATTGCATTCGACCAATTTCATTCAAGATCTGTTGCCTGGAAAAAAAATTATTTGAATAATTCGATGAATTTTTTATGAAACAAAAAATCAAGTCATAAAGTTGTTGCAACATTAATCATTTGATGGATGAACGATTTTAATGTGTTTTATATTTGATTTAATGAGAAGTTGATTGATAGAAATGTAAATAAAATTATTGATTTATCCCAACATTTGACAACAGAATGTCATGTAATTTTGTTTAGCTTCGCTATTTTATCATCATTCAAACATCAATTTGTCATCACAACTCTGAACATGATAAAAGTATTTTTGAATTTTATATTTCATCCTTTTGATTTGATATTATTTTTCATCAAAGTATCGCTCATAACAGTTGAAACCATTTCAACGCAATATCAAAGATAAAGATGATCTCATTTCCAATTCATGAGTTTACTGGTTTATTTATTATTATTGCAACCTTTTCTGAATACACTTTTCTCACTCTCTTTCTCCTGTGTTTACTATTAAATAACATGTATTTCTTGTCACATCAATTTGTCATAAATTGATAGAAATTTAATCTCACAGGATTTCATAGAATCAAAATCCGATTCAATGTTGTTATAAACCAACTCTGTAATCCTATTTTGTCTCATTTAATAGATTGATGGTTTGATTGCTAATTGTTAGGCTCTTCTTTAGATGTTTATTTCAAACCGATTCTGGAGCAATCCCGAATATTATAAACGATTAATGGAATGAGTTGAAACAGGATTTGAGGGCGCAAACTGTAATTTTTCGTCTTTCTTTAATTTCATCGCCGCCGGAAGAAAGTTGAAAACAAGTTAACACACACGTAATCAATTAAGTTTGGTTACATGATCGTTATTGTTGAGGTGAATTCTTTAGAGCATAGATTTGACAGATTATCATTAATTATGATAAAGAGATCAGGTGTGATTACAATTAATCAAACAGTTAAGAAAAGAAAAATTTGTTTCAACCATATTACCACTGATTAGCAATATAAGTAATAATATTTATAAGTATTGTAATTAGACCATTCAAACAGTCGGAAAGAGCAATATGTTTTATATCTTGTTTGGCTTTCTCAGTTTATTGGTATTTTTCCCCTTTTTCAGCTTTTCTTGTTTCCATTTTGAACAACCGTCCATTGGTTATATCATAATATTATATCCTTTTATTCAGTCCCATGTTTTTTGCTTGTACATCTTCCATTGGACTTCTTTTATCGCATAAATTTGTTGATCTGGCAAAAGAAAAATGATAAAAAGAAAGAGGTTCTAAGGCACGACCAAAACTAATTGGAAAACCAAGAGCAATTTGTATCATTTGTAGTTAATTCTTTGACTGTTAAATCATTTTCGACTTGAAATACATTTATGTCCCCTTTCAAGCGTCTTAAGCAAACAAAAGATTGAATTTAGATCTGCTTATGAAGTTTCCAAATCATATAACAAAGACAACAAACCAAGGTTGGAATGCAAAAATTCATAAATGTACTGTTTCGTCTTTAACACGATTGGAGACAGCAAAAACCAGAATGACGATGATTCCTCATTTGGATGCTAATCATTTTCTCGTGAAACAAAAATAAACATTAAATCATCAAGCCAGGTTATTTTTCAACCAAATTTGTATTCATTTTCATCTCATATTTTAAATATGCTTTTAACAGCTCCAAGAGCTCCAGACAAAGTGGGACCTTGCTGTTGAGCTTGAGTCTGCTGCTGCATCTGACCCATTTGATTCATCTGGTTCATTTGATTCATTTGATTCATAGGACCTCCATAATAGCCTTGTTGTCCATACTGTTGCTGTTGTGGCTGTTGGGTTTGCATCGTACCAAAGCGAGGTCCTTGTTTGAATTGTTGTTGTGGTTGTTGCTGCATTTGCTGTTGCATTTGCTGTTGGTGGTGTTGCTGTTGTTGCTGTTGGTACGTTTGTTGAGTGGGCATTTGTTGTTGCATTGGCATTTGTTGCTGATGTTGACCTTGCTGTTGACCAAAAGCATTGAAATTCTGAGGAGCTCCAGCTCTTGGTGTTGTTGCTTCTTCCAGAATCTTTTTCCCACTATTGAATAAACTAGAAAATGGATTCAAACTAGTTGTTTGTTGAGTCTGTGGTTGGTGCTGTTGTTGTTGCATTTGCTGGTTAGTCATTTGCTGTTGACCAACTTGTTGTTGATTCGGTCTCTGTTGGTTCATTCCAAGATCTAAACTGTTCGGCCGATGCTTGTTACCCATCATGCCATATTGTGATTGTGGTTGCATATTCATCGATTGATTACCATACTGTCCTTGAGGTCTCATTCCTTGTCCTTGGGCCATGGAGTTTCCTTGATACATGTTGGATCCATACATGTTAGAACCATATGACTGATTCATAGGACCTTGTTGATACGGTTGAGAGTAACCTTGCATACCAGAGCGTCCTCGCATTTGACCCTAAAAAAAGGATTGGAAAGTAAATAATTGCAGTGAGTTAATATTTTGTCAATAAATAATGCACATCCTGAAAGAGAAACCATTGAATTTCAAAGATTTACAAAGAGAGGATGAAGACAATGACAAGGCAACATTTGAGTGTTAAGGTTGAGAAAGATGCCGTTTGAACAAATCAGTCAAAAACATGCAAAGGAAAGGTAAGCAGAGTATTAAGCAGGTAGGATAATTGGACGAAGAAATGGGTAACTTTGAGCTTTTTGCTGGTGTTACCAGAAAATTGTACAGACTTCAAGATTTATCGAGTTATCTCATTTTAGTTCGTTTTCCTTTTAATCATTCTATCGTTTGAATGATTAATCAAATTAATGAACAGCAAATTTCTAATCAAGTCAATTCTATTCAAGATGTTGATTCAAAGAGAGTGCCACATTTTCCAATATCTCAATTTATCGATCAGCCGAACGAGGGAGATAACTCACATGTCGATCAGTAGACTCGGTTAAAAAATTGGATGGAACTAAACCGCGGACGCCGTTCAATTCTCCCATATAGAAACCATCTTCATCCATTTCACCGTAAACGTAGATCACATCACCAGCATTAAAAGCTAACTCCACCTAAGTAAGCAAGAAGATGTAGAAGGTAAAGAAAAGAAATAAGGCAAATAACAACGAGAGCAAGAAATTGCATACTTAATAGGAATGAAGGTAGCAATAAGAATTTTTAATATAATAATTAATTTAAAAAAATACTGAAATACTAAAAATAAAGCTAACCAGAACCTATTAGATGATTGAGATGAAATCAAATGTTTGAAATTTAATGTTAAGGCAAGGGAAATAGTTGTTTTCAAGTAACTGGTAAAGTCAACTACGGAAAAGCACAGGCAGTAAAAAAAGAACATGTAATTCAAATATATTTGCTATTCTAAATTTTTTAATGGCTTTTGTGCAGTGTTGATTAATGAGAATTGATGAGATGATTAAGGGATTAAAGCTTGATAAACTATGTTTAGCTAAAAGGCAGGCTGGTAATATCATTTAATTTAATGATGATTGTAAACTAGGCAGGATTCACGGGTTGTTCAAAGATTGCCGTTTTTTGGGCTCCTCAGTTGTTGGAGTTATTGTCTTGTATTAATAGTATCTTAACCACTTTTGATAATTATTTTTGAAAAAGAGAGAAATAAATTGCGAGATCAAAAATCGATAGCACAATTATACCTCTGTGTCAGGATTAGGAGAGAGCTCTTGTGGATCATAGTCATAGAGTGCCGACATCTTTTTTACTGGCAAATGACCCCAAGGATCATTATCATTAGTCCCACGAAGAGGTTGGCCCGTTTCAGGATCACATTGAACTTCAGAAACCATGTTGCAAGGCACATAACCAACTCTATTGTTTAACTCTCCTCGATAAAATCCATCTGGATCTTTTTCACCATAAATCTAAACACCGGGATTGACAAAATATTATTAAAGGTCAAGATGACAATTGATAGTTTAATTCGAAGATTATCTTAAAATTCATACCTTGATTAGATCACCTTCTCTGAAGGGCAATTCCTCATTAGCTGCATCAGGATTAGGAGACATTGTTAATGGGTCGTAGTCGTAAAGAGCAACAAACCATCGGATATCTCGCGGTCCCCGAGCTCGACCATGACCAGTACCAAAATGTGATCTCTCATATTCGCTATACTGACGACTTCGATATGGAGGTTGAGGTGATGGTCCACCATATCTTCCACCTTTACCTCTCATTGTTGCTTCGAATTCTTCTTCTGAATAGCTCTCTATTGGGTTAACACTTTCACTTGGCGTGTCTTTCGTTATCGCTGTGAAAATTGGATAAAAGAAGAAAATGAAATAAATTAAAAGATCTCAATTATCGCACTGATTTATTTAAACGTACCGATGGATGGAATGGTCATTCGGTTAGGATTTGTTTGCATGGTTCCGGAAGTTTGTTGGAAGCCCTGTTGGTGCATTTGCATTGAATGTTGATTCTGTTGAGGGTGAAATTGTTGATGTTGCATTGACATTGGACCAGCTTGACGGTTTGAAAAGTTACCATGTTGCTGTTGGTGTTGTAATGACTGTGAATGCATTTGATTTGATGGTTGTTGGTGATATGGATGTTGAATATGATGACCAAGATTAGACTGATGATGCGAGGCATATGACTGTTGATGAGCTGGCAGTGGATAATGATGTTGGTTTGCATGTTGATGTCGCTGTAAGAAAATAAACGAATCAAAATTAGTCAAATTAACTAAATATCATGGAATAAATCAATTACCATGGGAAGTTGTGTGCGCATAGGAGCTCTATGATGACCTGGATGAACCTGAATAAAAAACAAATATGTCAATTGGTGTTTACTTTGCAATGGAATGAACCATTTAGAAACGGATATTTTCAAAATCACAAATAACTCTCATTATGTGCAAATAACAAAAGTTCAGACGAAAGTATCGTTTCTTAAACAAACTGTGCAAAATAGTGAGTGATTGTGATGGGGCAACAAGTTATTGTTAGCGGGTTGGTGTTCAGACAAGTTGAGATTTTAAACAATCAATGGTGCAAAAGGAAAAATACGAGGAATTTCAAGTGAAATGACGACATTACATGGTGTGAGACAAACAACCTTAAGATCAAGACACTGGTGAACGGGTTTGACTAAATGTAACACAGAAGTAAATTGTTTGAACAGTACTTCAGGATGAGAATAATGTCAGTTTTTAAATCAATAAAAACCAGAATATTGGTTTGATTATTAGTACATACAGATTAACAAACAAGCAGACAAATACAACAACTATCAATGCAATGTTAGTGGTTAGATCTACCTGATTAGGCGAAGGATCAAAAACTTTGGATCGCCGAGCAACATTGTTCATAAGTTGATTAATCTCAGTTTCCGATTCAGAGTCAGAATGGACTCGTCCCTGATTCGGGGTTTGTGTTGCATGCAGATAATGATTGTAATTCTGTAAGTAGTTTACAAGAAGAATGAATATTTCGACTCTTCTGATTTATCCAATTTTTAGCTTACAAAGATTTGACTAACATTAAATTCAAAAATTCACTTTAAACAATTGAATCTCTCAATTTTAATAATATTGTTATCAACATAACTTATAATCTTCCTACTGAAAACTCTAAAATTTAACTATTAGACTTGTTGGATTGAATCAAAACGATAAACATTTTCCAACTGATTTGGTAAGAATAATTATAAGCTCTATTTTTGATTTCTCAAATGAACCAAATAGTTGTAAGCAAAAAAGTTCAATGTTTGACTGAATTAATATAAAAAAAGTTATTAACTAAGCTATATTGGTTGACAGGAGGCGATGGATAATTATCCACATTTGATTGGTAACATTGTCCATAACATCTTTCAGTCTAAAAAGAGAAGTTGAGAAAATAAAAGTGTAAAAATGAACAGTTCGCTCGAAAACATTAGGTCCAATAAGATCAGTAGACATTTTATATTTTTACAATAATGATTCATCAAGACTGTCTTTCAGCAATTTAAAGGTAAACGATTAGATTCTGAGCTAATATTATTGACGCTTGCGTTTTAATATAAGTCTTATCCGTTATATCAATGATTAATTAGCTTTTGATTTGTTAGTGTTTTGTTGGTCAGGTTAAAGGCATTCAACTAATTATCCAATTATTGGAAAATCTAATTTCTTGACCGATAGTAATTTGGTGTGCAAATTCAGCAGAATTACAAACGTAAATGGTTTAGATACAGAAATAAACCAATGCTACAACTAATAACAGCTACAGTTATAATAATAATGGAAGAGAGCAATAAAGTTTAACAAAAGTTGAACATATCGATTGTGAAGAGGAAGTTTTGCTATTTCTCTACGGGTCGATTGACGGATCCAATCAGGATAAATAATCGTAAAGAATATGTTTGATGTAAATACCTTTCGATGAGCACCGAGTTTAATTAAATCATCAGGAATTTGACAAGGCATTGAATCTTGGGAACAATTTTCTCCTGATTTTGTACGCACAGTAACAGCTTTCTTATGGAAACTCTCGATTTGACCAACATCGAGTAGTGCATGATCCCCTGTAATTAAAAGCAAAATGATTAAAAATTCGGCTCAAGAATTAATTTTCCATTAAATTTCTGTCTATCTTAAAATCTTATGACTTTCATTTCATCATAAGCTTATAAGTCTTGTTATTTAAAACCTAAATAACAGACAAAGGTTAAAAGTCATTTCTCAATCATCAATTGTGTACATCTATTTTTCATGGAAAAATCTTCTGCTCTATATTTACTGATTCAGCTATGCATGAAGCTTCTTTGAGTAGTTAATGAAACATGTAGGATTCAAGTTGAAATATGTGGAGGTTGTCTTGGATAAGTTTAAATAGTTAATGGATAGACAGAATGAAAATAAAGTGTAATACCAGTTGGACTATCGATTTCAGTCAATTTTTTGTGAGCAGCAAAAACAGCATAACCTGTTACTGGACAGCCATTCGAGGTTCCATATTGGTCCAACGTTACTGGAAGCCATGTTACAAGTAAAGTTCCATCTTGAGGTCCCGCTTCTACTTGTACATCCACTGGGGGTTCTGGAAGACCTGTAATACAGAAAATATTGTTAGAGTTGAAACAAGTTTACAGATTGGCAAAAAATGAAATTACTTTTTGGTAAAGTCCGAAAATCAACAAAAGTTGTCAACATCTCGAGTTTTTTGGGATTCTTTTCATCAAATGACATCAGTTTACCAGGTTTGGCACGGACAGAAACACGATAGAGTGTATTAGCAGCCAATCCAGTTATCAAGTGCTTGAAAACCCCCGGACCAACTGTTTTAACTTCCACAGAGTTAACAGCAACTACATGATAAAAGTTACTATTACAGGGTAACCAGCTGATTAAAGATGATTCAGAGGTAATACTGGTAGCTTTTACACAACACGGAGCAAATGGTACATCTAATTAAGATATTAAAAAAATGGTTAAAAATATTGGTTAAGATAGATATTATAATATAATAATATATTAATAGAAAACTAATTAAACTGTTAACATACTTTTGCCAATAATTATAGTACAGGCTGCATCTCTGGAACTTCTTCCTAAATTATTTATGGCTCGAATGCTGATTCGATGTGGCTAAAAAGGTTTTTCATCATTAGTAATAAATATTAATCAATAATAAATCAATATTTTACTACAATTGAATGAACTTACAATTGAGGAGTCAACACCTTCAACTAAGGCTTTAGTTCTTTCGATGCTTGGTAGAGTAACTTTTAGAACACCGTCAACATAAATTTGGTAGCATTCAATAAATGTTGGAGGGCAGTCAGGAGGCAACCAATAAAGAAGAATGCTTTTATGAAATTGGCGCTCTAATATTAGTCTCCTTGGAGGGGGAACTGAAATAAAGGAAAAGATATAAAATTAATCAAAACGATTGTTTCCTCAGAGATTACGAGAGATATACAAAGGAAATAAAGGAAATAATTGATAGGCCATGAGAACAGAAACAATTACCAATATCTCGCGCGGCAGTTGCTTGAGCTCTTTCGGGATCGGATAAATCTTCTTCGTCGATTTCCTGAGATTCAGCCAATTCAATATAATCATTCATTCTATGAAAGTCCTCTGGAAAATGAGTGAAAAATTAAAAGATTAATCAGATGTGGTGATTTTGATTTAAAAACATTGTACCTGGTGCAATCAAATGTTGAAAATTTGTGTGAGCCATGGCATCATTGAGTAGGGTATCGTAAAATTCGGGCGGATAACTAACACTAGATTCATCACCATCCCGATTTTCGTATAATACAGTTGCTTGAAATTCAAATAAATCTTCACCCGTTAATTTTTCGATAAAATTAGACGGAACCAAGCCTTTTCTACCATCTAGAGTTTCTCCTACAAAAAAACCATCATCATCCATATCACCGGCAACTAAAATGAAATCTCCAGCTGCTAGATGTAGTTCTTGTTCGGGGTTTTCATTGGGTGACTGTTTGAATGGATCATAGCTGTACCGAGCAATAAAAACTTTGCATCTTCCACGATTAGGTATCTCAATACTATCAACAATATCCTCGGCTAATCTTAATTCCTGCTCTTTACGAATGTGCTGTAAAATAGTGTTTGGATCATCTTTTCCTGGAAGCATTGTATTTATTGGTAAAGTTAATTTTTTCTCTCGATTAAAATGACTCCGATCTGAAAATAAAGAAGAGCGAATGGAAGAGAAATGGGTAAATATCATATTAGCGATGTGCAGTGCTTAATATTTAAAAAAAATGGCGAAAGTAAACAAAACAGCAGATTTAGAGATGGTAAAGAAATCTTAAAATTTATAATATTAAATCTATTATATGAACCGGTGAATCAGTAGAAAAGCTATTAATCAATCTAGAAAAGTTTAAATGATGAGAAACAAACACCGGCCAGAAGATTGATTAAATTGAAAAAATATACCAACCTGAAAGAAGTTGGGTATGTGAAGTTGAGTGAAATCCTGAAATATTCGAGGTCAGTGCTGGCAATGATGAGGATAACAAGGCAGATGAAGATGAAGTAGTGTTGTTTGAAGAGATTCTTTTAACCTTTTGATCTAACTCAGCCAAAATTTTATTATCTTGTTCCAATTTTTTCATCAGTTTTTCCAATTCCTTACTTGAAATTGAAGGACCTTAAGAGAAAAGATAAAAGGATTGAAATTTTTCCATTAGACTACGTGAAAGGTTAATGATTATTCAATGATAGGTTAAAAACTAACCTCCAGCTCGGGAATCAAATTGAGACTGTCTATCAAAAGATTGGCGATCATTTAGGGCCGGCATAGATGAAGATAAAGCGGCAGTAGTAGTTGACCCAATGGAAGATGTTGATGAAGTAACTTGTGAAGTACTAGTTAACGGTGTAACTGTGGTCGGCGCCATGGATGAGGAGGTTTCGGTATCCAAGGCTGAGGATGTTGATGGTGTGGTGGTTGAGGCCATATTGCTCGATGTATTTATTCGTTCAACTTCCAATTCTTCCAGTTCTCGAAGTGCTTTATCATCTTCTTCCAGCTTTCTCATTAATTTATCTACATCGAAAGAAGATGGAAGCGAACCTGAGCCTGAAAAACATATGTACAGCAAACAAATTTACATGAGAATTTCGGACAAAACATTTAGCTGGTGATGCTATATATATCTTAACAATTAAGTAAATGTTATTATTGTTAATATCATTTTAATATTATTATTGACCTCAATACAGTTCTAACATTATCTCTATTCTCATTGATTATTTATGGGATGAGATGAGGCCTTATTAGTTGATGACTTTTCAAACCATACGAAAAAAGCAAAAGGAATAAAAAGAAAGGTAGATTAAAGCTAAAGGAAGAGGAAAGGGAAAGGGAAAAGGAAAAGACTAAAAGCAAATTAGATTGCGATTCAAGGCATGATCACTGGAATGTAAATAATTATATCATAATCTCTGGATATTATGGTTATTAGTTTTAATTTCATTTCAATACAGAAAAATGATTGATGCCAATCAACGCTTTTTACTCAAGATCAAACCCTTTACCAGAACTGTTGTGACTGCTGAGAAGGCAAGAACTAGTGGTGAATAGATGTATGAAAGTGATCATGATAAAATCACTTTACTATTCGAACAGAGATGAATATGAGCTTCACTGAACATAAACAATGAGGCTTTTAACATGGGTCAAGCTTTTGTAAAGAGATTTATAAAACTGACCTTTGATAAATGTAGTTGAGTCAAATGTTTAGGACAAAACTGATTACTACAAGTGGTCAACAATTTTAAGATTATTGATTAATAATTGATTGGTTAAGAGGCAATAAAATTGAATATTGTTGGCGGGATTAAATAGTGTACATGTAAATGGATATAAAACATGCTCGGTCGAATGGGATTAAAAGTCATAAGAGATGAGATAATGAAAATGAAAATGACTTACCTTTTCTATCACATTTATCATGTCTACCAATATCAATTGAATTTGATCTAAAGGATACCCTAGGATTGGATGAAGATGCAGATGAGGATAATGATCTAGTGGAATCGTATGATTTTTTCATTCCAGTTGAAGATGAAGAGTAACAATCTAATGATGAGGAAGCCATTGGTAAAGTGAAGTGTCCAGTTATCCGTTATGGAGGCAGCTTTTGGTATCTTCTGCTTAACTGGTTACCCCGAGTTGAACATATTTTTGTTTACAGGTTTATGTTACACTTGGTTTTTATAAAAAAAGGGAGAGAGTTAATTGTTATATTAACTGTTAACAGCTATCCTAATTAATTTAACCATTGTTGGTTCCTTCTGACAATTTGATGGTAGTAAAAAGACTCTCACGCAGATCCCAGAATGTGAGCATGTATTATGTTATTAGTTCGAGAGAAAAAGATAAAAGCAAAGAGGTGTATAGAAAGGGGAATAAAAGGCAGGACAAGAAGCTAAAAAATATTAAAGAGAGAGTTGGTAGAGAGAAGATCAGTCATCATTTCTTCGTTTCTTTATTTTTCATAATAAATGTTATAAATCAGTTTCTTCAAACAGAATGAACTTGGGTTAACTTAAAAAAAAGAGTCATATTTTTTCGGGCTCTTGGGTAGAAGTTAATCGTTTTCAGATTATTGGTATAAGGTTAAATAATGGTAATTTTGGAATGAAAAGGAGAAGAATCTGAGTGGAAGATGAACTGAACTAAACATTCTGTGAGCTTAACATAACTTTCATCAGTCACACCTCATAACATCAACCAACTTTCAAGCAACATTCAACTAACAACATTTCATTTTAAGTCGCCTAATATAATCGATCGAAGGAAAAGCTGGAAAGAATTTTTCAGGGCAAACTCATTGCTAACATGGAGTCTCTCTTTCTATTTAATATTCCTTAGAGTACATATAATCTTTCTTCTCTTCTCCCTGTTATTTCCTCTCTCACCCACTCACTCCTACTCTCTGTGTGTATTTGTCTTGTAAGCTATTTACCTTTTAACCTGATTGACTGACTGACAAAAATCATTCTGGTTTTTCTCATACCTTCCCTGGTTGTTTCCAGAAAGTAAGGTTTAAGCTACTTCAATTAGTCATGAACCTGAAAACAAATTCAAACTATAGTCAACAGTAAAGTATTAACCTGTTACAGTTGGTATCTCATCTTTTCATTTCATTTTATATTAAAAACCAATTATTCTGGAAATCTTACAAATACAAAAAACATCAATTCTCCCACAAAATCTAGAATTAATTTAGTCAAACAGATTTTTGTTTTTTTTCAATTTCTCAGTTCAACATATTAAATTTATTTACTATCCTCTTTTGTTTGTTTCATTTGTACAGTTGAAATTATCATTGTTCTCCACGCTTTATGTTTTTAACTGGTATTGTTATTACAAATAATTATGTTGATAAGTTCAAGTAAATGAACTTATCCAAAGAAACCATTTGATGCAACTCAATCCTTCTTGATCTTTTGAATAAATTCGAGTACAACAGAATACTTCCAATTATCCTAGAAATTTAACACCACCATTATCGTCTAAACTTATTATTGTGGCTTTTCCTTGCTTTTCTAACACTTGGAGACTTTTTTTGAGCACTTCATAATCAAGTCCATGGAATGGCTCTTTTACCGTTTCATCACCTGAAACAATCTCGTAAAGAGTACAAACATTATTGATGTAACCAACATTGTATACCCAATGGTAGATTAGATTTGCCCATGCTTCCGGAGTATTCCAATAGATGAAAACACTGGATTTATTTTTATCTGACCAATCGGCAACACCTTTTTCCTTCATGTTTTCAAAAATAGTGATCAAACCATCCAAAGTTAAACCTCTAGAAATGGATGCATTTTGAAAGGGTGGTTCTGTTAAGGCCTTTTTAAGATCAATCTTGAAGATACGATTATTTTTACAATGATTGAGAATCAGAGAAGACCATGCTTCTAGTTGAGCTTTCCTAGTCTCTAAATTTGGTTGAATGGTAAAAAACGGAGGAAAATTATACTGCCAGTAATCGGATAGAACAGGATCTGGCATTTTCAATTGAAGTGAGAAGCCAATTTCAAGAATAAACTGAAATAAAAAAAATAGAAATTAGAATGACATAAGAATTTGAAAATAAAAATTAAAAAATATCAAACCTTAAAAAGATGTGTACACACAGTAAGACCAAACAGTTGATATTGGCTGCAGCAGAATATTAACAAATGGCGGATAAATTAAATTATTTTGTCCACGGAGAGATTTAAATTTGGCGTGAATGTTGGGGTGAATATTTAACAGTACAAGGGTTAACTAAATAATAATAATGCTAGAAGAAACAAAGGTAATCCAATGGAGAATCGAGAATTAAATAATAATGTCTTCTGGCTTTGTATCTTGAATCTTGGCAATACGTTCCTTCCTTACTGTAAGAACGCCAGCAAATGTGAAGACACAGTCGAAAAAAGCAACGCCACTGAAAAGGATCAAACCAGTGAGGGCCACTTTATGCATTTTGTCATAAGTTGTCCGAGAAAATAGACTCATAATTAACAAGAAAATTACTCACAACAATATGAACAATAATAGAGAATCAAACGTGGAAAAATGACAAAAACAAAAGCAAGCGAAGAGAAGAAATCAGCTGACTGAGGTTCTCATAGCAAGTCTTGAGGATGTTTTGAAAGTTATCTTCAAAGTTATCTACCATTCAAATTTTCGTTCTTGTTATTTTTCTGTAAAATTCAAATTAATTTGCTTTTGGACTTTTCTGTTCTTGATTTTTTTAAATTATTCCTTTGTTTTTATTTCATTTGACTCCTTTATGATCAACAGCGTAAATGGCATTTAAGTTTGAATCAGATACTTATCATTGGCAATCAAATTTGATCAGCGGTAAAGGTGAGTGACTGACTTTAATTTGTCAAAATTCATGCGATGTCAATAAAATTGATTAAATCTTGAGATTTTAAATTCCTATTTTTCTCTCCTTTCTCTAAATTCAAAGGCGATCAAAATTTTGGTTTAGTTATCTTGAATCATGCTTTGGACGATCTCGATTCAAATCAGCTCGATAATTTCAACAATCTTTGGCAATCAGGTATTTCTCTGAATAAGATTTTCCAACCGCTCAAAACTAATTATTGTAATTTTTCAATCAATATTTACTCAATTTTCTAGCTAAACTTAAATTATCTGTTGATGGTGGAACCAATTCGTTGATTGATTTAGGACCAACATATGTTCCTGATTTGATTACTGGTGATTTCGATTCAATAAAAGAGTCAACTACTAATTATTTTAAAAAACTGGTAAGCGGCTAGGAAACCGATCGAATAGCACTGAAGTTATTTATTTAGAAAATTTTTAGGCACAATGGATAATTTATTGGATTAACATCACATATTGACTTTTTTCTCAAGGGAGTGGAAATAATTGAAACACCAGATCAGAATTACACCGATTTCATGAAAGCATTGTTTGTATTGGATGAAAAACACATGCGAAATCAGCTTAATTACATTGTAGTTTTATGGCAAGTTAATCATCGTTTGGATCAATCTTTCAGCAACATTTCTACTCTGCATAAGTGGTCCGAAGAAAAATCAGATTGTCCAATATTTTACCTCGATTTGAAGGGTTCACTATCGTGGTTAATGAAAAAGGTAATTCACAATTTACCTGTGCAATCCACCTAAAGATATGAGAGATTCAATTTAAAAAATAACATAATTTTAATATATTTATCATTTCTAGGGGCGCCATGAAATTGTGAGCAATTCACAACCGAAATGGCTTTCAATTGTACCTTTTGATGGACCTGCTACTATTACCTCCAGTGGACTGTTGTATAATATGAATAAGATGACTCTTTCGTTTAGTTCAATTCTCAGCACCTCCAACCAATTCGCTAAGTCAGATGAAAAAGCCATTTTAGAAGTTGAAGATAATCCCGTTTTATGGTCACAGCATTATTGCCCAACGTAATTCCATTTACAGGCTATATTAGTCCAAGAAAACGGAGCTTTGATGAACAGGAACTTTCAGAATTTTTGTTACAAAATTTTAATTCAACCCAGTGATGTTATTATACTTTTATAAGTTGAATCATGTATATTCAGTTAATCTGGCGCATTGGTCACTTCCTTTTTCTTTACAATTTTCAAGACGAGCAATTCGAGAACCAAATTGAATAGCTCGCTTCCAATATCCAGAAACTTTTATTAAACCTAATTTTTTAGCAGCCAAACGGAGTAACAGCTTTTCACCTTTACCTCTCTCTAATTTAAGATTTGCTTTCTTCCAGGTAGGTAAAGAGTTGAGAAAATTGATAACATTTTCATCAAGATATGGAAATCTTGCCTCTCTTCCATGATCACTAACAATTCTGTCATCTCTGCCTAGATTTCTCTTCGATATTCTTGTCAATTCATGCTTAATCTCTTCAGTTAACCCATTCCATCCTTTTGATTGAAAAACTGCTCGATGGCGTGAATAGCCAGCAAACTGTTCATCAGCTCCCATTCCTAGAAGGACAATTCTTGCCGGACTTTTGTACGTTTGTGATTCCAAGATCCCTTCTCCTCTAGCAGCAAACCAAACAGCACAAGCAATACTGTCATCTAAAACTGTGTTCAACGGTTTAACAAGATACTTAATATGTTCATCTCTTAATGTTCTGAGAGTTTCTAAAGTAACATCAACTTGCACAAAATTCCATTTTCTTTCTGGTCTAATCACTTTGATCTCTTCGAATGCTTCAAATCCAGTCAAGCGATCTTGAGCTTGTGAAGAAAATGCAACATTTATTAGGTCAATTGATTGCTGTTGAGGTACATATTTGTCACTAAGGAGAGCAATAACTGATGAATCCAAGCCGCCAGAAAAAAGTACTGCTACAGATGAATGATTACATATTTTTGTGGCATTGTCGACACATATTTGACACAACTGATTGAATTTGATTATGCGAGACTTAATTGAATTAGAAAGTGTTTGAATTAAATCGTCAATTAAATTGTCTTCAATATAAATTTCGTTTTGTGATTCCTCCAAACTAAGAATATTTAAAGATGTATTTATTGGTGAACTTAAGGCTGAGCTATTATTAATAATCGTACCAACAGCATCTCTGTTCCATTCAGTTAGTTGAAGAGTGGGAACTTTCTCATTAAAATCCAGTCTAAAAATGCCACTTGCAGGAACTTCTTCCCAATCATTGAGACCAGGAGGACAAACTGAAGATAAACTCAATGAAAAAGGTTCAGCAACTTTTTTCCAACACAAACTTCGTCTTCCAATGAAATCCCGTCCAAAATATATGCTTTTTTCGTGTTCATTCCAATACACAAACGTAAATGGACCTCTAATATTACTAATTACTTCATAAACTGATTTACCGAGTTTTTGACACTCATTCAATTGATTGAACAAGTACAATGTATCAGATTCATCTTCATTGTCAATTCCACAATTGAATATTTCGCCATTCCAGAGTAAAGTATTATTATTGCAATCAGTGATGGGTTGTTTAACAATTTCGTTGCCACGTAAATGCAAGACGCTACCAATGAATTTCAACATGAAATCGTGCTTGAGAAAAGTCAACTCTTCTAGAGCATCTGGACCACGTCTTTTTAAGAAATTATTCAATTTCGATAAAACTTCGGGTGAATAGCAATCGGCATCTTGGTCAGTTTGCTGACAAGAAAAAAATATACCACACATAATTGAATTCGGATTTCCGTAGTTTTTGTTTACTTGTTAGATGATAGAACAAAGAGTAAACAAGGAAGAGACTGCGAATCGCAGTCTGCAGGTAAAGGCTATTTTTACAATGAAAAAGTACAAATAGCGGTTTCCTAGTCTGCGTTGAAAACAAATCCACCATGCAAAACATGTGTTAAATTATCGATATATTGCTGGTAAATATCGATAAAATATCGCAGCAAAAATATCGATAATATTGATTGAAAAAAGATGTTGGTGAAACACTAGTTTTAACCTCTGCTATGCCATTTTATTTCCTCCAATTTGTTTAATTCCAATTTAAAAGATTTGATGAAAACTATGGAGAACCTTGCGAAAAAGCCTGCCAAAGGAATTTTAAGAACCAGTTCAAATTCTGGTCACACTGAACAACACAAATCAAGGTTGGTTTCTCTTCATATTTTCAATTACGTTTTATCTATTAATATGTCACAGTTTGTTTTTACTTGTTTATATGTGTTAAAATATCTATGCTAATTGAATATTCCATTATTTATCTTTCATGATTTTTCCACGTTTGTGTGCATAAATTTGGAATTAATTATCGGTTGGATTAATTCACTTGTCGTCTAGTCCAGCATTGAACCAATCAAATGGGATGAGATGAATATCCTTCAAACCTTGCATCCACCAGGAAAAGATTATGGGCTGATGAAAATCGAGGAACCTAAAACTCCTTACAGTCATTACAAAGATACTGTTGACGGTGAACAGGTGTCCGATGACGAAGAAGCAGCTTCTTCTTCAACAAATCTTAATCTTCAAAAAGTCTCTGAAAAGATTAAGCTTGGTAGATCGAAAGTGTCCTCTCAAGACAGTAAAGAAGAGGAGGACAGTAAAGAGTTTGATGATGATGACGATCAAAGTGATTTAGAAGGTGAAGAATTGACGGAAGAAGAAAAAAAGAAACGAAGAGAGTTTGAGATGAAGAGAAAAATGCATTACAACGAATTTCAAGCGGTTAAACTTGCTCGTAAACTATTGGAAGAAGAAGACGATGATGAAGAAGACGACGATGATAATAAGCTCAGCCTGAATTAATTTATTTACTTTCATGTATCAATTTATTACAACTTAATAAAAATTATAACCCGGAGGTTGAATTGATTGAATTTTATATTTATTAGATATTATTCAAAATAAAGTTACATAGAATTGAAATGCAGACTTTTTTCAATACAATTGAATCTTTAAATCAAAAATAAGGATGAATCAGCTCCAAATTAGTTGAGTTGTATATTTATGTGTCACAATTTTCTGTGCGATTGGAGTTGATATAACTCTAACCAGTGAAACTTGCCAAGTTACATAAATAAATAGATTAGGTTAATTTCAATATTGATTACAGTTTGTTTGTAAGCTAATATTCAACAGAGTTTCTCTCAATTATTGGGAACAAGCATTCGCCTGTAACAGTTCGTACAAAATGGCTTATTATCCTTAACAATAGTGAAATCATTTTGTTTCAAAGTGACCAAACAATATGAACAAGCGTAATGCCAAACATGATATTGAACACCTTCTTGGACAATACAACGATCTTCATCAATAGGTTCATAACATAAACCACAAGGTGGACCATGAGGACTCGGATCCTTAGCAATGTTGGGATATCGACGACGAGTTAAAGTGCCAAATTTAGGTGGTATTACATGGCTATAAGGTGGATCATTTATTTCCATTAGACGCAAGTTTTTCATGTAATCAGGTAATGGTGACGGTGGATTGGCCTCTTGTCGCTTCACAAAAACTTTCTTGATCGGAGACATTTCACGAGGAGGCTCGGGACTGGAGGCAGGAGTTGACCAGCCAACCGAGGATGGTTGAGGTGAATAGACTGGTCGAGGATAACGATTATAATGGATTCCTTCATCAGAATCACGGTTTCCTGCTTGATCCAACCCATTTGGCCAAGAAGAACCAATAAATTGGTTGACTCCTGGAAGAGGCTACAAGAAAATCACAAAAAGTAATGTTAATAGACAGAAAGATTTTCTGATTTTAATGTTCGATGAAACACAATACCTTTCCGTGTCTCGAATCTCGATGTCGAAAGAATTCTTGTCTTCTTGGTGAGGACTCTGATCTTCGATAAGTAACTTTATTGTCATAATGGTTACTTGGACTTCGGTGGCTTGATGATGATGTTGAACGGTAACGAAGCTTTGCAATTGCCATCGGATTACTGCGACTGTTATCTCGTGTTATTGGACGAGATTTACGTTCATGAGTCTCGACTAGACCAGAATCACTTTTAGAATCACTTTTTGAACTCGCAACAATTTTATCAAACATTTTAGCTTTTGCTTTAACGGGCACAGAACTGACTTTAACTTCATTTTGAGGTGTATCCTCCTTGATTATTTCATTCTGGTTCGGTGGGAAAACGACCGATTTCTCTGAATAATAGGATTTCTGATGTTTACGTATTTCTTGATGTTTGGATGATCTCGATTTCAACGCTGACCCTTTACTTGGTTTATTGGGTGAACGTAAATCACTCTCCAGATTATCAATCAAATTATCTGCAAAACAAAGACAAAACAAGAAAAATCAATTGATGTGAATGTTTAAAGAACAGATTGGGATGTTAAATGTTATGAAAATATAATACAGATCATTCGATGGAAGCTTCCACTTAGACATTTCAAGATCATAAAAATAAAGATGTTGTTTCATGAACTATTGAGTTTTCTTAATAGCATTTACAGAACACAAATTAAGCTGACTCCAAGAATAATTAATTAAGGAGAGATTTAATTATTTACATAAACCAATTTAATTGAAATCAAGTTAAGTGTATTACTGGGATTGAGCAATATTGAACCTAACCAGATGCAACAATTTTTAGGTTTTTTAGGTGAAAATCAGTAAACATCCAGTCATGAGGAATTCAACGGAATTTCTATTTTGCCAAATTAACGGAAAATATTTAGTGAATAAGGATTTTGCAATTAGTCTGAAATTGGATTGTCTATTAATTGCTAAAAAATGACAATGAACCAGTAAAGCGTTTACTCGTAGGTGGCAAGGCTAATAGAGTTTAATTTTCGTCAACAGAAAATTCAGTTAGTACAGTTTGAAGCTACATAATCTAGTAATTTGGCAAATGATCAACAAGTTGTTTTCAAATGATCAAGAATATACCAGAAAACAGTCGATTTAATGTCCTTCAATGTAAAAAAGGGTTTATCTTAAAATGATCAAACCTCAAGTTATGCTTTGAATAGTAAACTTATGATCAGTAACTGGTTTAACTAATTTTTCAACAAGATATAAATATTGTTGAAGCAAACAAATTGACTAATTGATTTGTTTTGAAAACAAATCAATTTATAAGTGAACAAAATAAATCATCAAAGTTTATAATATTTGGCCAAATTGATTATGGATGAGCTTTAACAGTTACCGGATTTTGTTTCGAGTAATTGATCAATTCTGGAAAGGCAATGAAAATTAAATGATTTGATAAGCTCAATTGATTATATCATCAAGGATATTACATTAACCATAGACCAACATCTAAATAATTTACTAATGTCTTTAAAAACCTGATGTATGCAACAGTTATACGAAGAGTAATTTATCAATAATTTACAAAACAATTGGATTTGGTTAGTAGTTAAGTTATTGGAAGGGAATTGGTAAAAGTAAAAACATTTGATATTATTAACATTTCTTACCGATTTCCATTTGGGTCATTTTCGTCCAGTTGCACTTTTGGTCAAATATTTGTTGTATTTAAATATGTACTTCAACGGGTTCAACTGTTAATGTTGATTGAACTGAACATGAATATGTAATGAAGTGAAGATGCGTCAAAATGAACACTTTTACCTCAAAGATTGGCGCTTCCATCATCTTAATCTTCCATATTTTCTGGTACTGGTAATGATCAGTCTCATCAGCCATCTTAATATTATAATGTTTTTGCTCTTCCCTATTTGTTGGCTCTAAACACATTTTTGTACCAAGGTTTCTTGAGATTACGCCAATTGTGTCTATTTCATTTTATCCTCAAATTGACTTACTATAATCAACAATTCAGTGTAACTCATCCCAATCTGTGGATTACCTTGACATCAAGGTTAAACTTGGTTCAAGGCTGGTTCTCGACATCATTTAAGCCTAAAATCTTTAGCTATTGACACAAAAAGTATCACAAATTGTGGGTAAAATTGTCAAACAAAATGACTCCAAATGCGACTGTAACCCAATATTATGGTAAAGTTTAGTTAGCAATAATCCAATTGACTTTGCTGGTTTATTTGCCTTGTTATTATTTTAACCAGAATTTAATCGGTCCTTGGCCGCTGGACATAGATTTATAAGCTATTCTCCATCCATGATTAACAGAACTTAATGATTGACTTTCATATCAGTTAATTGTCGATAAACGGATTGATTCGAGATAAATTGAGACAAAATTAAAAGCTCAATTGTGAACAAATGCTGATCAGTTTCCGATTAGATTTTAACAGAAAAAGTTACTTCCTCCTCTGGAATCAGTAAAATTATCAACAGATTCAGTCAAATGTTTGGAATTTGATTCGAGTATTGGATAAGGAAGTGTTCCAAGAATTCCTGTAAATATAAAAATAATTATTATAACATAATAACATAATCGTTACAAAAAACTATCAGTCTCTATATTTCATTCAAAATTGAATATCTTCTCATCTACAGCTAATAAAACCATGATAACGGTTCCATTTTATTTTTGAATATTTAGCAATATCATTTTAATTTTATCCCAATTTTGTCAGAGCTATTCAGCAAATAAAAGCTGATTTATTAATAAAACATAATCTCTGTCGAAATCGACTAAAAATATTCTAAGTTTCAGATTGAAGAATTAGATAAAAGTAATACAGTAAACCCTCTCAAATTGTCACCCTCTCTAATTGTCCCAGAGTCATGGTAACCGAGTAAACAATTGCTTTTAATTCAGTTTTTTTAATTAGGAAAATTTTGAGAGGACTCTTAATTACTATTTAATACTGTCCAATACAGGAATTATCAAATTAGAAATCAAAAACACCTAAATTAAATTAATAATTAAATTTTAAAATTTAATTAAATTCATAAAAGGGCTATTTTGCCTGATTATTATAGGAAAATAGCCAAGATGCTAATCCCACGACGTGACAATTTGAGAGGGTTTACTGTAGATAGATTCTCGAAAAAAAATGAGTCTGAAGTTTCATTGAATACAAAGCATTCTAAATATAAGACAAAAATTCAATAGTTGCTGAGATCTTAATCGCAATCAGCCTTAGAAAATTAAAATTATCGAAATTTTAGTCCATCCAACAGATGGCGCTCTAAAGGTCACTTATTTTGGCCTAATTTCATCGTTTTCAGAACTTTACAATTTTATATTTTTTGAATGCTCTAATCGCTAGTTCATATATTTATTTATTGTTTTGTTAAATATCAAAATTAAAAATCTTATAATTATTTTGAGCATAAATCTGACTGATAGTTTTTTTGGCCGATTCTGTATTAGTCAAATGTAAGGTGAAGATTGAAGAAAGAAATGAACGATTAAATAATTTTTAACTCAATTTAATAATTTTCTATTATTCAGTATTTGATTTATATGATATTAGGAAAATTTTCATTTGATAATTGAATTGAACGCCAGATCTGACAGAAATTTCAAATTATAGTCAATATTGTTTGGATTATTCATAGGTTGGTCATGGTTTTACTCCAATTGATTTTGGTGGAGATTGAATTTTCTTTGCTGCATAATTATAATATGCTTCGATAATATTCTTGCTTGATCTTTCAACATGATTTGAATCAACAATAAAATGATCACCTAAAAGGTTTGTTTTCATCTTAATACAGGTTAAGGTTAACCTTCCTTGATAATTGGAAGATAATAAGTTCATTGCATCAAGGGAATAAAAAATAAGTAGAAAAAGTGTATTAATTCTGAGCTGATTTATCTTACATGACGAGATAAGTTTTTATGTATAATAGCATCTTTCATTGTAATTTTTTCACAAGTCAATTAACGAGAGCGCGAGTCCAAATCAAATTGTTTCTCAATATTTTCAGGTTAGATTGACTGGAAACTGAACATAGTTCGAGTTTTAAAATATAATTGAATGGATTAATTGCAAACCCGGTGGCAAGCAAATGAAACCGATCTTAGAAGTTGTGGGTATAAAATCCAGTTTATTTGCCACTTTTTCATTCTGTCATTTAGTTCAGCATTTTGAAGTAGCTTTTGTTATTCTTCATAATAAATCATCTGGATATCATTAATTTGTGTTTCTTTCAAATTCAGTTCAGTTTCTCTGCATGGAAGTAGCTTCTCCAAACCTTCATTTGTTCCCCTAATTTAATCAGAGTAATCGGGTACGTTTATGGGTTGGAGAATCCATGGTGACATCTGTAGATGAATTGACTCTTTTTCTTGATTCAACATGACGTGAGTATTCATTGGATATAAATTCACTCAATTCAGTTGCCGAAGCTGCTTCCAGATTGGGTGTTGGTAGAACCTTACTATGGCTATTCCGACGATTTGTACATGTATTAATAAAATCAACGGGATCTATGCCTGATTGTTGACTGCTACGAAGTCCAGCAACTATTGAATAAAATTTAAAGCAATGAGAGAAATGCTAAACATCAAGGCGAGGTGAGAAACCATGTGATATCAATTAGAAACAAGAATTAAATAACTTATTTGATAATAAAGAAAATCGATAAAAATAAGTCGAGTCTTATCAATTAATATCATAGAGAATCACACCTCCTTTAACATTAAGTAAACAAGGAAAAACCTCGCAAACTCATAACTTACCGGAAATAGCAAGTGCTTCCCTAAATGTCTGGAGATCACCATCTTCTGGATTAACATCATTGGTTTCAAAAGAACGAGTTAAATTATTATTAACATTACTATTATTACTATTAGTTAATGTTTGAGAAGGAGTTCGAAAACCTGGTGTTGTACTTGGGCTCGTTTCGATCATAACGGTAGGTGAGGGTCTGTGTAATTTGTTCCAGGAACCATCTCTATGATGCGCATAATGAAAATGTTGATGGTGATGGTAATTATTACTATGATTATGATGCTGCTCAATATTGGTTATTTCTCCCTTCAGAAAACCAATCAAATCTTCACGGCGAATGAATCGTTTTCTCTTTTTGGCCCAGGCTAGCAGCTCAGCATTGCGTTTCTTTATACCCATCTGAAGATAGATATCTGCATTTCGTCTAATTGATTCAATGCATTCTTTATATAGTGAGGTTACATTTGTTGCTGCGTTTTGAAATGGTATCCAATAGGTAAGGCCACTTTCTCTATCTATAGAAGTGAAAGAGAACTTGATTATTAGATAAAAAATGTTATCAAGAGCATATAGCTATATAAGAAAGAGAAAAAAAAACATAAGCAGAAAAAAATATCAACATGTTGTCAAAGGAAAACTGAAAATGATCATAGGCCATAAAATGAGATAATGGTTTAAGATTACTAAGAAAACGGAACTAGCAGTCAATTAAGTAAAAAATTTAAAGTAGAACAAAAAGAATTAGCCTAACCACATAATCTACTCAAGGCCACAAGTAAACATACATGACTTTTTTGGTTAAAATTCAAAGTCAAATGATCATCTTTTCACCCTCTTTATTTAATTATCGAGATGGCCATTTGACAAGATGAATCTTGATCGTTGAAACCAATTATTCAAGGAAAAAAGGAACATCGCAACCTTACCTTTGTACAATTGGGCAACTGAGCACGCAGCAGTTTGAAATGATGTCCACAATTTGTGAGACAACATATCCTTTTCATGATTAAAATGCTTCTCCTCATAGTCACAATTATCCAAGTGAAGGCTTTCCTCTTCCAGGCTATTATAAATACCTTCATTTAGAGGACCTAGGGAAGATGAGTCTTCGAATTCCTCATAATTACCGTCAATCTGGTCCATGGTTAATTATTTTACAAGATAGACAATAGAATAAACTGGACTAATAAATTAAATAAAACAGGTAGATGAATGAAGGCAAAATGCACAAACACACAAAACAATATAGATTTCAAGCATTCACAACATCCAGCTAATGGTAATGTTACTGAAAGTAAGTAGATGGCGCTGTGAGTATGTAAATGAAAAGTAAAAATTTCCTTTATGTCAAGTTAATCAATTAAAAACTGTTTTCGATGCTTTGTTAAACATTCAGTAGTGTTGAAATTTAGATTAAATTATATTTAGATTATTCTTTAATCAATGAACTTATTCTGAAATTGATGTAGGAACATCTCTAAAATAACTTACATCTGTATGACTTTGGATAATGCTAGGCCGAAATGGCTTGTCAGACTTTTGACAAGCATAAACGGAACAAGATCAGTAACTTGTGTTGTAATGTCAGTTAGTGTTTCTAAGGTAGGTCATAGCCTTTTGACCAGGTATAACTGGATAACAATTCCAGGGTCACTTTTATTTATCTTTGTCTCTATTTGCTTTGAATTGGTCAATTTTTTTTGTTTATTTTGTCATGATTTAAAATCTTCTAGACTTCTCTTTTTCAGACCATTTCTGTTAGACAAAAGATACAAATTCTGGTTCACTGTTTACAAATTCTGAGTCTATCTTCACCCAACCTTTCATGTATTTTCTGACTTTTTTTGCTTCACTCTTTTGTTCACTGGTTTGTTTGTGATTTAATGGGAAATTAATTTAGCTAGCTACTAACCTTGATTATTCGCTATGTTTACCATTTCTAGTGTTAAAATATTTCCGATTCGCTTGCAACAATATTTGTGAATTTTTTCTGTTGAATTAAAATTAATGGGGAAGTTTCGTTAATGAATCGATTGTTTTGAAAACAAGGACAATTAATCAAGACTTTTATTGACCCATTTAAATTTATTCATTCTAATTTCAATTCTGTTACAATTCTGTATATGCAGAGTTTTTAATAATTGTCCCTGCTAAGCATTCAAAATTTAACTTTATGTTTGGTGATAAATTCATAGTATATTAAAGCTAGTAATTGAAAGAAATTAATGAATTTTTTTCAACAATTCAATGTAGTTAGTCTGTTGAATAGCGTTAGGACTTAATGCGGAGTTCATTTTTCACGGTAATGAATATGATTTTGTTTGTTTATATTAACGAACTCTTTAGTTAACACTTATTGAACTGATTGCAATTAAACTGAAAAGAGTAATTAATTTAAATTAAAACATTAACGACAACAAACTATAAATATTTATATTTTCAGTTAACCTTTAATTTGTTTCTTTCCACATAAATCAAAAGGCTAAAGATACAATTAAATATGTTTTTGATAAAATATTAAAGTGAATGACTTAATGAGAGATTTAAGTGTACAATTCATATTTGATAATCTTGCAAATGCATTTAAAAAGAAAACTATTTGAGCCGAATATTTGAATGCTGTTATCCGATTGATAGAAAACTTTTTCATCGAATCCATAGATCAGAGCAATAAAGCAGAAAATATATTAAAAGAAAGTATTCATATGTGCGTGAATAGCTCAGTCTTTAATCAGTCTTTTATGACAAGATATCAGCATAGTTGTGGGTGGAATCGTTTCATTCGATTGAATCTTCCAAAAATAATTGATTGTTGTATTTACAATGTGATTTGATGAAGGTGGAAGAAAGCTAAACCAAAAAATGGTCGTTTGAGTAGCATGTTTGAGATATCGAAAAGAGCCTTGATATGGTTGAGTGGATTTAGTTTGGCTCAGAAGAGCGATGTAGAAAAAAGACATCACAGGCTCCTTCTTGAAAAGGCAAAGATTTTTCAGCGTATTTTACATATGAATGGAGGCAGCAGTATAACGAGCTTCACTGCCTGCGAAACGCCATTGAGCAGGTCGATATTTGATTAAAAATTGTCCCGATGAACTTTGTGGGTTTTTGTAGGCATAAAGTAACCATAATACGACACCAGAAATCAAGGATACAACCATCATGACGGCCATAAAACTTGCTTTACCATTTCCTGACTTTCCATTTGCATTTGATCCTTGATGGTAAAGAGGTGAGCTGACGGAGGGTGCTTCCGCTTTTCTAACTTTACCTGAAAAATCAAAGAGAGGAAAGAAAAGAAAACATTTATTAGTTCATTTTGCAACATTGATCACAAACAAAATGTAATTTTATAATGCGTAAAAATCAAGATCGCAAGTTAATAAATTCATATGACTCTCAAGTTACATGCAAAAAGCTTTTTAACTTGTTTGGAAAAGCTTGTTTATCCATGAAGTTCATATCTATCAAAGTATATTTGCATTCGAGTAGATTAATTGCTAATTAAGGTAACAAAAGGATAAAGAAACAAATTCACTAGAGCGATAACTATGATAATCAAATTCCCAAAAAGACAGCCTTCAACTTTTAAAGCTTGTTTTTTTCAGTGAATCAGTCGAAAAGTTGAATCAAAAAGATTAGGGTATCCATCGAATAATATCTAACTGTTTAAATTAATTATCTTGTTATCAACACATGATTGATTGGGAGCGGAAAGAAAGATGTTGAGACAACGAAACAATAAGTTTTGATCTTGGCATCTTAACTCGGACATACTTTAACCCATTAATGTTTTCCACAAGCCAAAAAAACCTTGACCTCAAAATTGTAAGCACATCTTTTTTTAATGCTGCTACTTAAACTAAATTGCCAGTATTGTCATCAATTAGACAATCATTATCTACTCAGTGGCCCAGTTTAAGGACTCAAAAAGATAAGTTGTTTGGCTGAATGATGTTAGAAAGGTTGAGAGGGTGTATCTGAAAGCTATGTTTTGAGGGCGTAAGGAGTATTAAAGATTGATTTTGAAGTTGATCTTCTCATCAACCAATCAGTCCCGGTTCAATTTGTAGCTTCCTTCCTTACTTGTTAGAGGTTCAACTCATCATGAGACGTGATTTGAAAAAATGGAAAAAGCAACTGAAGAAAGAGAAATGAAGATTAAAGACACGAAAGGAAGTAGAAGCAAGTTATCCAAGAGAAGTTGATCAACTACAGAGTAAACAAATAACAAAAGGGAGTACTGGTAAAAGAGTTATACTGCAAGAGCTACAATTTTCTGAACTCACAGAATTGAGCCATAATAGAGATAAAAATGGTAGACGTTTCACGGGGAAAGAGAGTTGAAGTAAAAAAGAGAAAAGATGCCCCAATTGAACCATTCAATTCAAATTACCTGGATATGGTGAAATAGTAGATGCTGCATTTTGAATTACAGTTGAGCTATTAGTGGATGCAAGGCAGTTATTTTTTTTAGCTTCGGTATCACAACTTTTAGCTAGCCAATCTTGTCTTTGTCTATCCAATCCGTCAGAGCATCGTCCAGTACTTTCACACCATTTACACTCGAAACTTGGAACACCGACCGAACAGCTTTCGCAATCTTTCAGGGTAATGCAAGCTATCAAAAAGAAAAAGCGAATTCATGAAAAAATAGTTCAAATAAGTGAAATATTAGATTAAAAAAACAAATAAAAACATACTCGGTAAGGCAGTGAAGTAAATAGCGGTGTTGTTGAGTATATTTTCCTTTTTGAGCTCAACACGATGATACTCATAGATAGTCTTCTTTCTGATAACTGTTGACAAAGAAACATAATGATAGTTAATTAAGTAAAGTGAAAACGAATGTTCAAACAAGGAAAAAGGGAAGAGCGAGAAAAGAGGGAAGAGGAAAGAGGAAACAGAAAAAATGAACAAGACAAATTAGCAGAATGAGTTCATTGGAAACTAAAAAACATAAGAAACCAAAAAACTTACAGAAAGCGGTTCTATCAATTACATACGCATCAGAAAGTCCAACTTTAACAGGATGATGAGTATCCGGTAAGTCGTTGAATGAAATTGGAAGGTCCTTGTAAACAAAGACAATGTCACCATTTGAAAATAGAGAAACTTGGAAGGTGAAAAATTCTTGAGGAAGTTCCTTGATTAAAACATTCTCCCACTGAACAACAAACATAGTCGAGTTGTCGGCGTACTTAATTTTCGATGATTCGTTTAACCGTGTATCAAAATTAGCCATTAATGGAGCAACGTATTGGGTTGCTGCAAGCCAACTGTGAACAGTATTACCAAGGTAAAGAAATCCTCCAGTCGCAATAGTTACATTCTTTATGGGATTACCATAGAACGGGAATTCAAAAGTAAGATTAACTGGTGCAGCACGACGATGTGATTTAGATAGCATTGGTTGTAAAGTAACATTGGGCATCTTATCAATGTCAACCCAATATTTCATGGCTTCGGTTGGCTTCGTTAATATTGTTGAGTTGTAGTATGTATGGGAGTCATTCTGTAAAGGTAATGAAAAAGTTATGAAAAACAGAATAATGATGAAAATTTACAATGGTTGCACTTAAATGTTAGACCAGTTTAGACATTAAGACTCACCTTGCTTGTATAATTTGACGGCAAGGGTGCGTCTAAAATATTTTCTAGATCATCTACTGATGTATCGTTGGCATTGAACTCTGTGCTATTAGTTATCCCATAGTTCGTGATATTTAACTCTGATGTAACGGGTTGCGTAGAATTCAAAGATAGAAGCTTGCTGAGCATAGGTTTAGATTTATCCAATTGTGTTGGCTTTTTAGTGGCTACTATTTTTTTGTTTTTAGATTCATCCCTTTTCCACCTTGAGAGAAGAACATTCTCAGTATCACTAGATGACTCTAATTCGTAAAAATCTGTAATAAAAGAATTAAAAGGTTAACATATTTTTAAAAAAAGATCAGACAAATAAAGCTGAAGCTCAATACAAAAACAAGATAAAATTAAATTATCGGTCAAGATATCCTGTAAATAAGGATAAGGATAAAGAGAAAGAGAGAGAGAGAGAACATAGAGTGAATGTAAAAGATAGGTCTTAAAGCAAGGAACTGTTGAATTGGAGGCATTTCTAACTAGGAGTAGTTTAATTAATTTTTACAAGTTCAATCAAATTAAACCTTATATCAAACCACTGGTTACTTAACAACAATTATTAAATTAATTGAAGCTGGAAAACAAAAAATGAATAAAATTTTGACAAACAATTTTTAACATATTTACCTTTAGGATAGGATTCTTTTGAACATTCGGCCAGAAAGAAGCAAAGGATAAATATTAATAGGAATGTGGTTACAGAATTATCCATTAACGCCATTATAAAGGCGAAGGTGAAAGATAAATGTATTAAAATACAAAAAAATGATTCAAAATAGTCGATCAAAATAATTTATGTGTTGATGGTAGATCACAAGACTTGCAAATGAAACTCAAAACTTGACGTCTTAAAATGAAAGAAATGTTAGTTACATGAACTGCCGCCTGATGTCTCTAATAACGAATCCCACAATAATATTTAAACTGAATTTCAAACAGCAACAAATCAAGAAACAAACCAAAATGAAATTAATAATCAAGTCTCCCATGAATGAACTGACATTGGATATCCGCTTTCTCAATGTTTAAAATTCAAAGCTATTGACGTAAATATATTTTGTCATATGGAGTCTACAAATCGAATCTCTATCGAATCATTTTCAAATAAAAATTACAGATTTTACTTAAGATTATCTCGAAGTAATTTGAACTGAAACCAAGCAAAATCAATTTAAGGTTTGGAATAATTTTTGATAGAAAAAAAATCGATAATTCCCTCATTTAACAATGTAAGTATCAAAATTTACGATTCTAGTGTGCACTTTAATTGGCTAAGCTTTTTGTTTATTCAAATAAACAACGATTTTATTTTATAATAAGCTCTATCGAAAGCTAAGAATGGTCATCTAATAGCATTGATTCAAAGGAAACATCAGTTTAAACGAAGACCAAAAAAAATAAACAGGCGAGGATTAAGACTAAATAAGATAATCCGTTTAGATGGAAAATAAGAAAAACATGAGGACTTTCAGGCATTGAGGCACTTTTTAAGGACATTGTTGTTCTAAGAAAATAATTCACATTCTAAGGAATTTAAAATTATAAATGCAATTTCAAGGCTTCTAGATTTTTCATTGGTAGATCAACTTCTGCATTTTGGAGACAAAGCTTCAAAATCCTTAGCGAAATCAAGGCAATTCTCAGAAAATTGACCGACCTGATTAGGACCAATGGTTGATCAAACATGAATTTTGAACAGTGTGAATAAAACAGGGTAATTGATTTCGGAATTCTTGTAGTTATTAATTCATTATTTGCCAATATGTTAACCCGGAACATTATTTCAGCTTGTTGATGATCCTATTTTTAGATACACCTTTTAAGAATTTGCCTGATTATCTAATGTTTTTTCCATTAAAAATGATAAAATTTACAATTTGCTGATTCAGAATAAATTTTTAAATAGATTTAATACTAAATCTTGCTTGAATTGAATTTTGTTTAATTCCAGTTGTGCGTTATTTTGGATTTTACGTATTTGGCGCTCTGTAATATTAAAGACAGCCAATCAGCTGGAGATAAGTTTGAACACATTTTTCCCATCGGTACTTTTTCATTAACCTAAACTGTTCTGACTAACTAAATTGTTTGATAATTGTGTTTATTAAGTGTAATTGCTTTATTTTAGTATTTAAATTAAACCTAGTCATTTATTTTTGGGTCAAGTTGTTATTTATCTCGGATGCCAATATACTTTTTATACTCTAACAGTGATTGAACTCTTTTTCGTCTCCTATTACATGAAAGTAAGCTTTGAATTGCTATTGGAAATTAATTAAGCTTTGGTTCATCATAAAATATTTTTTTTATTCTTTTCAGTGATTAAAGCTAAGATTATATCCTTTTCTGATTGTACCCGGTTACTTAGCTCATCCTTTAATGGTTATTTACCTTGTTTGGTTTTCATCGATAAAAAAGGTTAGTTTATTGCATTATTATTTAGAATATCAATTATTAATTTCCGTTTTTCAATTATATCTTTAGGTTTCTCTGGCTTAAAGAATCTAGGAATTTATTCAACGTGTTCTGGTTATTCATCTCCTTTATTCCATCAAAAGAGGTGGTTCAAAGGAGACAGAAGTAGTTTAAACGGCGGAGAACGCAAATCATATGGTATCGGAGGTCTATCCAGAAAGGAAGAGAAATCTTTATTAAAAAAACTATTAGATGAGCTCAATTTGAAGAAAACTAAGGAGACGATACCAAATATCGAACAATCTAATGAAAGATTTCGCCAAATAATTAGAGATGAAAAATTGACTCCGGAAGAAGTTCAAAGACTTCAGGTAGCCATCGCAAAACTAATCTAAAAATTTATCTGCATGAAAATACAAGATACTTAATATTATCATTTGCATACTTATGTGTTAAATTGAACTTTATCTTTAGATTTCTTTCGCTGAGGGCTATGTTGCAGCCGAAGGAAAGCCTAGATCGACTAAGAAGCCTTTTAAGACTCGACTGAAAGAATATTTATTTTTTGCAATGGTAATGACCTTACCTTTGTTGATATTGATAGAAATATCAGGTAAATATTACTATTTTACAAAAATTATCAAATTATACAATACAGTCTAAATCTCCATGGAATTTTTTGTTCACTTTTTGTAGCTCGTCCTTTCCGAAGAGTATTGATTGGTAGTGGCAATCTTGTTAGTCCGGAAGAAATTGATGTTACTTTTGCAGATGTACGAGGAGTAGAAGAAGCTAAGCAAGAGCTCCAAGAGATAGTAGAATTTCTCAGAAATCCAGATAAATTTTCAGCCTTAGGAGGAAAACTTCCTAAAGGTGTTTTGCTTGTTGGACCTCCTGGAACTGGTAAAACTCTACTCGCTCGAGCGGTTGCTGGTGAAGCTGCTGTTCCTTTTTTTCATGCTGCTGGACCAGAGTTTGATGAGATTCTTGTAGGGCAAGGTGCTCGGCGAGTTCGTGATTTATTTGCCACAGCGAAGTTGAAAGCACCTTGTGTTGTGTTTATTGATGAAATAGACTCAGTTGGAGGTAAAAGAACGAACTCAGTACTTCATCCTTATGCCAATCAGACAATCAATCAACTTTTGACTGAAATGGATGGTTTTCGTCAGAATGAAGGTGTCATTGTGCTTGGGGCAACTAATAGAAAAGAAGATCTTGATAAAGCTCTTTTAAGACCTGGTCGATTTGATGTTGAAGTTCATGTTCCAGTACCTGATTTGAAAGACCGAGAAAATATATTTGATCTTTATCTTAGTCGAATTAAATTGGCCCCGAATGTTGATTCAAAGCGTCTTGCAAAGAGAACGATTGGTTTTACTGGCGCAGATATTGAAAATATGGTCAATCAAGCAGCTTTAAGAGCCGCTATCGATGGTAAATCTTCAGTATCTATGGAATACTTTGAATCAGCTCGAGATAAAGTTGTTATGGGTCCTGAACGAAAAAATAAAATACCAGATGAAGAAGCTAACAAGAATACAGCTTATCATGAAGCTGGACACACATTAGTCGCATTATATACCAAAGGTGCGGACCCCCTTCATAAAGTTACCATAGTGCCTAGAGGACTTAGTCTAGGGCATACTGCTCTAATGCCTGATAGAGAAAAATATTCCAAGACTAAAATGGAATACTTGGCTGATCTTGATGTTTTAATGGGAGGTCGAGTTGCTGAAGAAATTATTTTCGGCTCAGAAAAAGTAACTCCTGGAGCATCTTCCGACTTTAAACATGCAACCGATATTGCTACTAGTATGGTTAAACATTTTGGAATGTCAGAAAAGGTATACAAATGCTTGATAACATTTCCTAAAAATTCATCAGACTTCTGATGCAATAATTTAATTTATCACTAACATTTAATTTTAATCACTAATCATTTTGCTATTCAAATAGGTTGGTGTTCGATTTTTTGAAAATTCACGAGATGGATTAGTAGTTATGAATGATATTTCAAATTCAACTTCTGAATTGATAGATAGCGAAATTAAAAGAATATTACAGGTAATTTACTTTTTATTTAATTTTTACTTGAAATAGTTTATTAATTTTAATTTTCTTTCTTTAATTATTTTTATTCAGGAATCTTATGATAGAGCTAAACATATATTGTTATCTAAAGCGGACGAGCATCAACGTTTAGCAGAAGCATTACTCAAATATGAAACATTAGATTCTGACGAAGTTGCATTAGTCATCCAAGGAAAAGATCCAAGGGTACTGAAGAGGTAGCTCTTTTAATCAGGAAATTGTTTTCTCTTCGTTTATCTCATGGATTCTTCACACTTCTTCTAGTTTTTCTGGTAGGAGGTTTCAAAGTGTTAGTCATAAGCAATGTATTTTTACAAAATTGAGTGTATTGAGAACCATCCTTAACTGTGAGATTTTTTTTCTCTAGCTGTAAATGTTGACAGCAATAATGAGCGAAACAAATCAAAAATATGTGAAGAATTGTATTTTGTAACAGTCAGGACGAAAGCTGGTAAAAGATCGATTACCAATGTGATATTAGAATAATATCTTCATTGTTTTCTTTCTATTAAAGACTGAAACAAATTATCATGTCATATCAAGAGAGTTAATTTTATTTCACTTAATGAGAACAATTACACGGAATTTACTCACCGTAGTGTTAACTATAATCAATTCATTCAATTTAAACATATTATATGCTTAGCGTATTCGAAGCCATTTTATTTGAATTGGTGACTAAATGATGAAATGAAACAACTTGATTTCAATAGTTACACATGTAAAAGTTTATTGAGCTCTGGCAGCATTAGCTAAGATACAAGCAATTGCTGCTGCAATTAAGAGTGTTAAACCAATAATAAGAAGGCTGGTTATCATTGTATTAAAAAATAATTTCAAGATCGTCCTAAGCTCACCTTCACAACCCTGAGTAAATTTTACTTGGTCAATTGTACATTTATTTTGTGGTCTATTCATCAAACCAATTGTGATCTGGTTCGAGCAACAAGAAGCAGGAACAGTGTTATCTTCAAATTCAGGCAAATTGGCTGCCCACCATGCTGGACCATTGTATCCACAACATTTGGATGTTTGATGCAAGGTATCAATTGCTGCTGATATTGAATTTTTCTTGGGATCATTAACTCGATATTCAGTGAAAGCAGTCAACAATTGTTTTTCCATAATCTCATCGAGCTTGAGGAAAAGAAAAGGCCAAAAAGATTGTTAAAAGACATTAAATGAGATACACAAATCAATCCAACTCACCTTTACACTGTAAACCATAAAGATAATTAGTGGACCAATTATCAGGATTGACAAGATGCCAACACAGAAACAATACTTTTGAATTGGATAAAAAATACAATTAGCTGAAAGGGAATTGTTTTATTGTCACTTTACAATTGAATTTACCATTTTAAGAAGACATGAATTTTCCTTAACGGCACCAAAACAGCCCAAGAAACTAATAATGAACACAGCAATTCCAGTTAATACAACAACTATTGCCCCAGTATCCGGTGTATCAATTATCTGTTTGAAGTCCGTTGATTTAACCAGAAAATAACCACCAAGGACGCCAATTATGACTCCAAAACACTTGATAGTAAATTGATTGAACAAAGAGTAAAGTTTTATAATGAGACAAAATATTTAATAGCTATTAAACTATAGTTTCAGATTCATGGGTAAGAAAGATTTCAATTATAAATCTTGATTGTTATGACTTGAAATTATTACTTGAATCTGTAAAACTACTTGACTTGGCAGAAGTAACAACTTACAACAAAAACAAAGTTGAACGTGAACAAAACACATTGTATAAGTGAATTGGTAAATCCTTTGACCATTTTGATCAATCGTCAATGAAGCCACAAAACACAATCTCCAAGAGCCAAATGGTTAAGATGGACAATAAACAAGAAAGACTTTCACTATTGCGATGATTTAATGATGATAATGACTGGTCAAGTTATGTTTCATTTCAAAAGCACTTATAAATTACACAAGTTAAGTTGAAACAATCAAAGATTCCTGATCTATTGAACAACAGTGAACAAGTACTTCCAACTGGTCTGTTGATTTGTTTTCATACAACATATTGATGTAAAATTATTTCATCTTTTTTTCTTTCCCTGCTTTCGTGTTTACGTTTTTTATTCATCTAATGTCGCGCTTGGCCTAAATAATAGCAATCATCATAATAAGCATATTTTAATTTCTTTTTCTCTTTCTCTCCACCCTCACTTCCTTTCTGTTTGCCACTGTCTATCATTTCGTTACTGTCTGTCACGCTCATCTAGTTTCTCTTAGAATCTCTCTTTCTTGTTCTCCTTTCGCACCACATTCTGTCTAATTTTAAACCACTAAATTGTTCAATTTCATTTGATTCACATCAGCTCATTTTAATACTAACCATTTGTTAATGTATTGATGCACAATTGTGTGGTTGGTTTATCTTTAAGCTTCAAAAAAATGAAGTAAACTTCATCTAATACAGATAGCCAAACGTTTGGTGAAATGAATAAATTTCAATCTAATTTGATAAATTTTCATAAAAATCCTTCATCTTAGATGATCTTTTTTCATGTCCTCAAAAGCAATTAAACTAATTTAACCTTCCAAGTTGACCAGATTATCTTTTCTTTTCAACCTCAAAGATGGCGATATGTGAATTTGCTAAGTGCATGCATTGTGCTTGAATTTGTTTGTCATTTATAATTGATTTTAATTCAATTGTAATACCAAGTACATTGTAAAACACCGTTACATGGCCTCGGGTGAGGATATTGAGCTATTGTGGTTCCTATTATTTTTGCATATCTGACCCAATTATAACAATTTCAACCAGAGTAAGATTCGAGGTAACTTTGGATTACGGCGATAACACAGTTCTGAAAGATGTAAACCTGTAACGGTTTGAGGGCTGCTAGACGTTTCATCAAGAGTACCAGAGAAGTGGACCACATAAGAACCCGTAGTAGATGAGTATTGAGTGATGGTTCCTGATTGAAGATCTGATTCAAGTTACCAGGGTGAAGATGAGCAATGCTCATTAAAAACCAGGAACAGTGAATTGCCATGATGAACACCACCTGTAATTGTACTGTAATTTAAAGAATATAAAAAGATATTAGAATGATTTATTGTTTGAAGAAAGTAAATTTACATTTTCAGCTGAAAGTATCTCAATGCACTCAATGAAATAAAATAATCTAATTTTTACTTTTCACTCCTTTCATGAGACGAGTCAACTTTGTTTACTTATCTGTCCCAATATTTTTCCTAGACCTATTTTTTACCTTGAATTTTGAAGAATCTTCAACTTCGTAAACTGAATTTACAGCTCAATAATGAATTAAATCATTGAGAAAAGGAAAAGTGCTGTGAAAACTCAATAATTTTTATGAATTATGACAATTTCAACAAATCAACGAAATAGCGACTCTGCAATGAAAATACACTTTTCCGAAATCAAACAGCAATTCATTTTTGCATTTAACCTTACCCTGAGAATCATATAAAATGGAAAAATGATATTTGAAGCTCTCAACACCTAATCTTATCACGATCATTGACTTCCTTCGAAGCAGTAATGAAACTAACTCGAGCGCTGGGGAATCAAACTAAATTCACTGAAATTTTATAATGGAAACAACATCAGACTACAATTTATTTTCTCAAGACAAATCTCTGTCTGTGTCTTGCATTTATTAGGTTTCAGTCTCAGTTCATTGGCAAAATGTATCAGATCAGTTGAAAAATTTTATTATAAAATATGAATTTGCTCATTAAAAAGTTTTCATTGTGATAATTTTCATTAATATAAGATTTTGTTAGTGTTAGCATATTGACTGTATTTTATTGTTATTATTTAATAACTATGTTAAGCTAATCATAAATTCTGTTTAGGGATATTCATTTAATTTTCTAGTTAACTCTCTAATTTGGACAAATTAATAACGATAGATATAAAGACGTGAAAATGAAGTAAAGTATTATAAAATACAAGTGTTACCCCTGTCAATACACCTTCTCTTTTGAAAAAGTTCAAATCAATTTGGGGCAGAGGCATTTACTCTGGTGCAGTTTATTTTAATGCTGTGTTCACTTTTTTATGCAAGTTTTTTGTCGATGACGAAACTGTCATTAAAAGTAATTCAAAGTTGGCTATGCTGAAAAAATATTGCAGCTGTACTAACTTGAAAATGTCAAGAATATATGGTGCTGCGACTGGCGACCCTCGTCTGTCCATAAATTATACACCCTCAACTGTGGTGCGAGAAGCCCGCAAATGTGCGAAGATTGGCGAGAAGCTATTGGTAATAACAGCCAGCTTCAATGGTATAAAAAATGATAATGCACACTCTCGTTTGGTCATTATATACCGCGATACCTCATATCGTATGACGGTGTATGATCCTTTGGTACCCCTAGAAGTAAGCCCTGGCAGTATCGAAAAAATCATTGCCAAAAAGTTGAATATCAGATATGCTGATATAGCCAGTGGAACGCAGAAACTTGGTGAAAGAACCTGCGTTATAAACAGCCTTAAAAAGCTATCGAAAATATGGCTGGTAAAGATAAACTTAAAATTGTAAAGAAATATTATTTTTTTATGAAAAAATATATTCAATAAAGTATTTCTATCTTTAGTTGTTGTTTTGTTTATTTCCCCTTTTTCTTTCTCTTCACCAGCTTGGCATGCGCGAGTTACGGCCTTCCCTTAAGTTATCAATATCCCCTACTTACTACTGATCTGAATAGAGAATTTTTCATTGAAAATACCTGCATTTTCTGGTTAATCAGAAAAAGTTACACCAGGAAAATGAGTTTCATAGTAAAATCTGATTTTATTATTGGAATAAAGGCGATCGAAGCTTCAACTTTGACCGCATTTTATCGAAAACTGGCGACTCAAACAAATTTTCAATAGCACTGATAGACTCAGTTTTTATACCCCTAAAAACTCACTAAGTCTCAACTCTTAACGGTGAAATCAAAGTTTTTGGACATTGTCCTTATTGATGAAAACCATTGTCGAGAAAAAATAAAATAAAATTTGGTTCGAAATTTGAGGCAACATATTATTTACCTAACTCTTTACTCGAAAAATGGTTTTACATATCTTTCTAATTTTAACAATAAACCATCAACCTGAACAACCAAAAATTTTTCCTCCAGAGTCAATGGTAAAAGATACGGATTCTGCATTTTTCCCCCTACCCTGTTTAAACGCTTATTTCTCAGGTACCTGAATTCCGATCAAGTTCAGACTATTTTTCGTGGATGTAGTTTAATCATGACTTTCAGTCTGGGAAAAAATTTTCTTTAGAATCCTTTTAGTTTGGCCCCAATCTTTACGCAAAAATTTCATGTTTTGACTTTGTATATAGATATAGATTAAGTATAAGTAATAACGGAAAGTGAAAAGGAAAGATTAGAATCGGTATCCGATATGTTCAGTTTTTAATTAGTTAAGCCCTTTATTTAATGTCTTGAACTTATTCTTCTTCACTTGAAGTTGAGGATGATGTGTCTGTCTCCTCCTGTTCGCCACAAGCCATTTTCATCATTTTGTTTCGGCGTCTTTTGAAAGAGGCGGGTTCAAATCGACGTAATTTCGCCATTTCTCTATTTGTCTGTTCAGAGATCCAATCGTGATGAGGGTTGGTTTGACCGAAGGATATGGAGGAAGGACATCCGGGTGGTGGACTCGTAAGTGTCTATCAAGTTGTACCGTCTCTGCAGGTCTGATGTACAGGCACTTAAATATTGGGCATTTAATGGCTTCGGTTGTCATCATGTATCCTTTGCAAGATGCTATTTCGAGCATTTTCCTTTTGAGAGCTTTCTTTTCATCTGAAGACTTGTTTACTGTACCCGAGTCCGAGGCACCTGTCTCACATTTTGGGTTTGGTATAAATTGAGGATTCATGACCGCACTTGATTGGTGATGACGCGAAGGATCAAGGCACATGAGTTCTTTTTCTAACTCTTTAATGAGTTTTTCCTGTATCTTTATCATCTCTTCTAGTTTTTCTGCTCGTTTCATTTTTTTAATGTTCATGTCTTTAAGTTTATCGTGTTCTTTTTCCAGCCGAATCAAATCACCTTCTATCTCGGCCATCTCTTTGTTTCTTTGCTGAAATTTTACTTTTGCTTTCTCATAGTTATCATATAGCTCTAGCAGGAATGTGGCAATCTGGTTATCCACTTGGCCAATAATCACGTTCAATCGCTCTTTATCGTCCATATTTTCCCAGTTATCGATTTTTCTCTTTTTAGTCGTCTTTTCAACTTTTTGGCTCTCAATGTCGACTTGAAATTCTTGCTTTTTCTTCTGTGGATGTATTTCGGAACATCTATCTTTTGGGTCTTCACTCGAAAAGAGGTTTGATTGATTCAAGTCCTCCATACTGGTGTTCAAGAAATTACGGTAAAAGAGCAATGAAAAACGTTCAAATTGCGCTCTCTTCACTTTTTGGGTTTCACTATGTTAAAGCTCGATGTTTGTTTAATCTTGATGTTTAATTGCTGAATTATCAAAAGATTTTTATGATTTAAGAAAGATTTGATAATGTAAAGAAAATCGTCAGTCGTCATTTTGGAACTCCATAAACCATTCTTATACATGTTAGTAATATTCCGTTATATTGGTTTGAGCAATAGCTTCTTTTCATGCTTTGAAATTTTGTCATCTTTTATCACTTTAATCATGCTTACTGAATAATGTTTGATTTCTTGATTCCTCAAAATTCTGTTTACTTCTCAAGCCTCTTTCCCTAACTGAAGAATCGTTCCCTTGATAATGATTTTCATTTCTTCATGAATAATGTGAACAATGTCTAAAAATAACAAAAAGCACAATTCGTTGTGAATCGTTTGTGAATCGACTTCAAATAGCAAGAGAAACCGTAATTGCAAATGTTTTACCCTTCACTGTATCGATTTTGTTTTTAACTTTTAAGAGCCTAAATAATCACATTTTCACTAATTTTATATTAATAAGTAATTAATTGAATGCTTATTACTATTTTTACAATTTCATAGGACCAAAAACACCATTGCGAGCTACCGAGCGAAATTTTGCCTGAGGTCCTTCATTAGGTTTGCCCCATTGTTTTGACTGCCTCGTCTAATATTTTTGAGAAAATTTTCTTCTTTCTTTACTAAGCCGCTCATAGAGATTGGAAAACATGACTAGCATGAAATGTATTTTGACGGCGTTTCATAATTAAACTCCAACTTCTGATCGGTTTAAAATATATGCATTTTGATCTCCAACTCTTTCTGATCAGTTTAAAAAAAGCTCTTTAATTTAAACTATTTAACTAGAGAGAAAACCCAACAAAACAAAATCGGTATTCACTTCTTGCACACACTTGTAAATGTTACTTTGAGCTGACTCTGCGATTTTCTGGATTGTTAATTTACCAAAGAAAATTAAATTAAATTAATTATCAACTAAAAATGTCTCTTATTCAGAATTGTGTTTCTTTCACATCAGTCTTGTTTCTGTGTTTCCATCTCATAACTTTTTCATCACCTTTACAACATGACAGCAAGCTCTTCTCTTTGAATTCTACTCAACCCGTTAAATCAGAGTTAAATATCACGAACTATGTGATAACTAATAGCACAGAGTTCAATGTCAATGATACAACGAACATGTGTTTTTCATCACCTTTACAGAATGACTCCCATAAATACTACAACTCAACAATATTAACGAAGCCAACGGAAGCCATGAAATATTGGGTTGACATTGATAAGATGCCTTATGTTACTTTGCATCCTATGCTATCTAAATCACGTCGTCGTGCTGCACCAGTTAAACTTAATTTTGAATTCCCGTTCTATGGACACCCGATAAAGAACATAAGAATTTTGACCAGAGGGTTTCTTTACCTTGGTTATACTGTTGACAATTGGCTTTCAGTATTCCGCAATATTGCTTCGTTAAAGGCTGCTTCTGATACACGGTTAAACGAATCATCGAAAATTAAGTATGCCAAGAATTCGACTGTATTTGTTGTCCAGTGGGAGAATGTTGCAATCAAGAAACTTCCTCAAGAATTTTTGACATTCCAAGTTTCTCTATTTCCAAATGGTGACATTGTCTTTGTTTACAAGGACCTTCCAATTTCATTCAACGACTTACAGGATACTCATCATCCTGTTAAAGTTGGACTTTCTGATGTGTATGTAATTAGTGGACCCGGTTTCTGTAAGTTTTTTGGTTTCTTATGTTTTTTAGTTTCCAATAGACTCATTCAGCTAATTTATCTTTTTTCTGACACTCCTTTTCGTTTTTCAACCTTCGTTTTCATGTTTCTTTGTCAACAGTTATTAGAAAGAAGACTATCTATGAGTATCGTATTAAAGAGGACGGAAAGGAAAAAATACGCAACAACACCGCTATTTACTTCACTGCCTTACCAAGTATGTTTTTATTTGTTTTTTAATCTAATATTTCACTTATTTGAACTATTTTTCATGAATTCGCTTTTTCTTTTAATAGCTTGCATTACCCTGAAAGATTGCGAAAGCTGTTCGGTTGGTATTCCAGGTTTAGATTGTGAATGGCGTGAAAGTACTGGACGATGCTTTGACGGATTGGATAGACTAAAAGGAGAATGGCTTGCTAAAAATTGTGATACTGAAGCTAAAAAAAATAGTTGCCTTGCATCCACTAACCGCTCAACTGTAACTCGAAATGCAACATCTACTTTTTCAACATATCCAAGTACAGTAAGGGCTGAGATAATGAGACAAGATTGAGCAATAGATCCTCTTCTTGCTTTGAAATTTTGTCATCTTTTATCACTTTAACCATACTGAATAATGTTTGATTTCTTGATTCCTCAAAATTCTGTTTATTCCTCAAGCCTCTTTCCTCAACTGAAGAGTCGTTCCCTTGCTAATGATTTTCATTTCTTTATGAATAATGTAAATAATGTCTGAAAATAACAAATAAAACACAATTCTCTGTTTATGAATAGACTCCAAACTGCAAGAGAAGCCTTGATTGCAAATTTTTTACGGTGCCCTGTAAACTCGCCACATTTAAGCTTTGAAACAAACAGAGAGTCAAACCCTTTTACAACTTTAAAGAAATCTCGCCTTTAATTGTTTACTAATATTGCAAGTAAATTGTCAATTTTGATTACTACATTCGTGAACAACGATCAAGCTCAAGCTTAAGCTTCGATCTCACCATTTTTCGGTATGTTCCAGATTCACCAATCTTTTAAGCTTCAAAGACATAATCTCTTAAAGTTAAGCGTTTTAACTAAGAAAAGGGTGAAAAATGTTCACTTCATTTAAGCACATGTACATTAGTTGAAAAACCTTTTTTGAGTTGAATATGGAGTTTATTAAATCTGAGCGCGGCAAATCAAATTTAATTTATTGTAATTATTTGTATAATTTGAGGAATACAAATAACAAACGCTGTTATTGGCGTTGTGTAGATAAAAATTGTAATATTACCATGATTACGGAAGACAACAATATCGTAAAGCCACCAAATGATCATCAACACAACGATCACATTGAAAGAATTGAGAAGATGAAAGCTCGAAATGAAATGTTTAATTTGATCGAGACTTCTCCGAACATGTCTATTCAACAAATATTTAATACGGTAAGTCATTTACTTGATTTCCTGTTGACATTTTGATGTTAAATAATTTTTGATTGATCAAACAAACCTTTAGATTCAATACTAATTCAAAAAATGGGAAAATATGAATATTAGTAAAAATGTGTTTAGAGAAAAATTTTGTTGAGTTGTATCTTGAGAATGGGTCGAGGGATTCAAATGATTAATATATCAATAAAAAGTATTTTTTATGCTCTTTGCAACGATATCTGAATGATATTTGTAGCTCATATATTTCTAGTAAAATGATAGTGTCGCTAGGATGACTTTTCCCATTATATAGCCTATGTAAATACATTGACTTTTGACGCCGGCAGAGTTGATGTTTTTTGCTTATTAATTAGTTTACATTTAATTGTTACATATCGTTAGTTAGGTCTCATTAAGACGAAGCTAATGCTGTATGGAAAGAGATCTGAAAACATATGGTTGGTGAGTTAGTCAGGGTTGAATGTTGAAGGTGAAAAAATTAAAAATGCATATTTATTGATGATTATTGTTACTATTATGATTATTTTTCATTCTTATTTTAATTATTCAGGTCAGAACGAAAAGAACATTGAATTTAATTGAAAATAATCAAGATATCTCGATAGCACCAAGATTCTTAAATATGAAATCAAATCTTTATGACAAAAGAAACTCTGTTTATCCAATCATCGACAAAAATAAGTTAGCTATTCCTGTTGATTATCAACAAACTCTTGATAAACAACCTTTTCTAATTCATTACAGTAATGATTTACTTATTTTTAGTTCACCAAATTTTCTTGAAAAATTAGCAAAATCAGATCGGGTATATGTTGACGGAACTTTTACCGCAGTTCCTAAACAATTCAGTCAACTATTCACATTTCATGTATTAATCAATGAAAATATGTTTCCAGTTGTATATGCTTTATTGCCTAACAAAAAAATGCAAACATATTTCCAATATTATCAATATTAACTTCAGTAGTTTGACAAAAAATAGGCATTATATTAAACCTGAAGCATCTTCATTGTGATTTTGAGATGGCGATAATTAAAGCATTCAGTATTTTTTTCCTGATATAAGAGTACATGGTTGCTATTTTCATTATTCTCAATGTTTATATAGAAAAATTCAAAATTTAGGATTGAGCAAAGATTACGAAGATAATCAAAATTTCAGAAAAACAATAAAAAGATGTATTGGTTTGCCCCTAGTTTCATTGTCAGATCTAGATACTGCTTGGTTTCTAATTAATGAATTTAATGAACTTAATGATGATAGACTTGACGAGTTTCTTTATTACATTCAATGTACTTGGATGGATCACGATTCTTTGTTCAAAAGAGAGACGTGGAATCATTTTGGTAATTTTGGAACTAGAACGACGAACCATTTGGAAGGATTTCATAATAAATTAAATCATTGCTTCAATCATGGAAGCCCTAACCTCTTCAATTTAATTAACCAACTAAAGTCTCTCGAGTTAGAGAGTAGAATTGATTTAACTCATGTTGTTAATGGTAAAAAGGTTCACAGAAAGAATAATCAATATATTCGTTTAAATCAAAATTATATTAATTACTATAATAAGTATGTAAACGGAGAAATTGATTTACTCTCCTACGTTGATTGTGTATCTAGATTAATTTGAATAAATTTTGAGACAAAAGCTTAAACGCTTAACCTTGAGATTATGTCTTTGCAGCTTAAAAGATTGGTGAGTTTGGACCAAACCCCATTTTTCACCCTTCATTTTTATGAAGTTAATTTTTAAGTGTTGTTTCCATAAACTGGTCGCTTAACTGATCTGTAATCACGTGTTTAGCTGTTGAATATCAACTTGATATTATCAAGTCTTATGTACTTGAAATATAAAAGCAATTTGTATCACTTAATATAAAGGAAGGGTTATTGTTTGTTTTTTGATCATATTATTTCGATCAATTACTGTTAGGCATTAATTATGTCTGTTATTCATAATTACGTTCCTTTCACATTGATCTTGTTTCTGTGTTTCCATCTCATAACTTTTTCATCACCATTGCAGTATGGCTTCCATGCATACTACAACTCAACAATTTTGGCGGAGCCATCCGAAGCCATGAAATATTGGGTCGACATTGATAATATGCCAAATGTTACTTTACACCCTATGTTGTCTGAATCACATCTTCGTGCTGAACAAGTTAACCTTACCTTTGAACTCCCGTTCTATGGACACCCGATAAAGAATATAAAAATCGCGACTGGAGGATTTCTTAACCTTGGCAATACTGTTCACAGTTCGCTTGCATCAAGCCAATATATTGCTCCATTAATGGCTAATTTTGATACGCGGTTAAACGAATCATCGAAAATTAAATACGCCAGCAACTCGACTATGTTTGTTGTTCAGTGGGAGAATGTTGTAATCAAGGAGCTTCCTGACGAATTTTTCACCTTCCAAGTTTCTCTATTTTCAAATGGTGACATTGTCTTTGTTTACAAGGACCTTCCAATTTCATTCAACGACTTACCGGATACTCATCATCCTGTTAAAGTTGGACTTTCTGATGCGTATGTAATTGATGAAACCGTTTTCTGTAAGTTTTTTAGTTTCCAATCAACTCATTCTGATAATTTGGCTTGGTTCATTTTTTGCTGTTTCCTCTTTTCCTTGTTTGAACATTCGTTTTCATTTTACTTAATTAACTATCATTATGTTTCTTTGTCAACAGTTATCAGAAAGAAGACTATCTATGAGTATCATCGTGTTGAGCTCAAAAAGGAAAATATACTCAACAACACCGCTATTTATTTCACTGCCTTGCCGAGTATGTTTTTATTTGTTTTTTTTAATCTAATATTTCACTTATTTGAACTACTTATTTGTATTTTTCATGAATTCGCTTTTCTTTTTAATAGCTTGCATTACCCTGAAAGATTGCGAATCCTGTTCGGTTGGTGTTCCAGGTTTAGATTGTAGATGGTGTGAAAGTACTGGACGATGCTCTGACGGATTGGATAGACAAAGACAAGATTGGCTAGCTAAAAGTTGTGATACTGAAGCTAAAAAAAATAACTGCCTTGCATCCACTGGTAGCTCAGCTGTAATTCAAAGATTATCAAAGATGGACCCTGTAAAATTAGGTGGATCTGGAAATTATACAGTCTTTTTGAACTCAACTGACTCTCTACAATTACCACGCTTTGTCTCAAAAAGAGGTTAAACTACATCAGAATTTTTCTCTCATCTTAACTCAATTCGGGCTCTAATAGTTCTGATAATTTATTTCTGTTTCTTGATATTTTCTCACAAACATTCTAGTTCATTTGTACTACAACTCAACAGTATACACTGAGCCAACTGAAGCCGTGAAATATTGGGTCAACATTGATAAGATGCCCAATGTTACTGCACAACTTATGCTGTCTAAATCACATCTAAATGCTGAACCAGTTAGTCTTGCTTTTAAATTCCCGTTCTATGGACACCAAATAAATAATGTAGCCATTTCGACCAGAGGATTTCTTCACCTTGGTAATACTGTTCACGGTTGGCACGCAACATCCCAATATATTGCTCCGTTAATGGCTCATTTTGATACGCAGTTAAACGAATCATCGGAAATTAAGTGCGCCGTCAACTCGACTATGTTTGTTGCTCAGTGGGAGAATTTTACATGCGAGGAACTTCCTCAAAAATTTTTCACCTTCCAAGTTTCTCTATTTCCAAATGGTGACATTGTCTTTGTTTACAAGGACCTTCCACTTGCCTTTAAAGACATACCGAAGAGCGTTAAAGTTGGACTTTCAGATGCGTTTATATTTAATAAAACTCTCAGTAAGTTTTTCTTTCCAATGAACTCATCCTTAAGCAACCATAATCCTGTTAATCCTGTCCCTTACAATTGGTGAACTAATTCTTTTTTATACAAACTTTCACCCAATTTAAATTGTTATTTTCCCTTCAATACAGATGAAATTCAAAGAACGACTATTAATGAATACAGTCGGATCGATTTAACGAACCTAAATATTTCAAGCCACACAAGTATCTATTTCTCTGCCACACCAAGTATGTCTAATTTATAATTGCAAAATCTTCGAGATTTAACAACTAAATTGATTTTCTTTAAAAGCCTGTAATACGTTGGTAAATCGTGAAAGCTGTTCAATTGGTATTAAGGGTTTCAGTTGTAAATGGTGTTCCGCTGTTGGACGTTGCTCTGACGGTTACGACAGAATGAGACAGCAATGGCTCCAGAACGATTGCCCGACCTAAGCAGAGATAAAAATCCAACTACTGGAACTACTGAAGGTATGATTGTGAACCATGTATCTGAATCAACAAAAAGTGAAAGATAATTAAAAATATTTTATAATGTACAAGAAACCATATTTTCATTAAAAGAGCTCTTCTTTCATTTGAATTCAAAAACGCCATCTTTTATAATCTTATGCAGTTGTCTTAGGATTTTCTCTTTCTTTTAAAAGTCAAGATTTAAATTTTGAAATAAAGAGTGGTTAAGCGCGATTAGAGTAAATCAAGAGATGGCGTTTTTATTGAGCTTGAAGTGTGTTAATTTTAATTTTTAGTTGTTTCATTTCATTACGTTCGTTCTTGGGTGTATTTCAAAGCATCTATCTTTTGTGCCTTCACTCGAAAAGAGGTTTGATTGGTTCAAGTCCTCCATACTGGTGTTCAAGAAATTACGAATTTCAAGAATTACCTGAGAGGCCTAACAGAAATTAGACTGATTTGAAAACGCTCATTTACACTATTCATCGAGCAGCATAACTCATGATTTTCAATTTCCTTAATCGAGAAAATTCAACTTAAAATGTTGCTTTAAGCTGATTCCGCGAGTTCTTGTATTGATACTTGGACTGATATTTTACGAAATAAAATTGAATTAAGTTTATTAATAATTAAAAAAATCTAAATGAAATTTCATCCCTTTTCAATAGGGACCATTGAAAAATTTAGTTTGAATTACTGGCCCGTTCAAAGATTAAGATACCTTAATCTTTGGGCAGGTCTCTATAATATGATTGGCAAAACTCTTGAAACTATCAAGTTATAACATATGACCAGAACTTGAATTTCATTTTGTATCACTTTTATATAAAGGAAGGATTTTTGTTTTAGATTATATTTTTATTTCTATTCTTTACTGTTAGACAGTAATTATGTCCGTTATTTATAATTACGTGATTCTGTGGTTCCATCTCATAATTTTTTCATCACAAGATGACACTCATAAATACTACAACTCAACAATATTAACGAAGCCAACTGAAGCCATGAAATATTGGGTTGACATTGATAAGATGCCCAATGTTACTTTACATCCTATGCTGCCTAAATCAGATGATCCTCCTGCGCCAGTTAATCTTGATGGCGAATTCCCGGTCTATGGTTTTCCTTTTCCCATAAAGAATGTAACCATTTCGACCGAAGGATTTCTTCTATTATATAATATTGTTGACAGTTATGGATGGTCATATATTGCTCCATTAATGGCTGCTTTTGATCCACGGTTTAACACAACGAAAGTTAAGTACGCCAAGAACTCGACTATGTTTGTTGTCCAGTGGGAGAATCTTGCAATCACGAAACATCCTCAAAAATTTTTCACAACCCAAGTTTCTATATTTCCAACTGGTGACATTGTCTTTGTTTACAAAAATATCCCAATTTCATTCAACGACTTTCTGGGTACCGATGATTTTAGAATTGGACTTTCTTATTCGTTTCAAATTGAAAAAAACGTTGTCTGTAAGTTTTTTGGTTTCTTATGTTTTTAGTTTCCAATGAACTTAATTCCAATTCGCTAATTTGTCTTGTTCTTTTTTTCTGTTTCCCTTTTTGTGTGGACATTCGTTTTCATTTTACTACATTAACTATCATTATGTTTCTTTGTAAACAGTTGACAAAGATAATACTATCCATTACAATCGTTTTGAAGAGGACGGAAAGGGAAATATACGCAACAACACCGCTATTTACTTCACTGCCTTACCGAGTATGTTTTATTTGTTTTTTAATCATATATTTTACTTATTTGAGCTATTTTTCATGAATTTGCCTTTTCTTTCTTATAGCTTGCCATACGCTGAAAGATTGCAAAAGCTGTTGGGTCGGTTTTTCAGGTTTAGATTGTAGATGGTGTGAAAGTACTGGACGATGCTTTGACGGATTGCATAGACCAAAAGGAGAATGGCTTGCTAAAAATTGTGATACCGAAGCTAAAAAAAATAATTGCCTTGTATCCACTAATAGCTCAACTGTAATTCGAAATGCAACATCTACTATTTCACCATATCCAGGTAATTTGAATTGGGTGGTTCAATTGGGCATCTGGATCAAAGAAATGATTTTGGCATTGTGATTGTGAACCATGTATCTGGATCAACCTAAAAAGTGCAAGTTGTTTTAAAATTTTTTATAAAGTATAAGAAACCAGATTTCCATTAAAAGAGATTCTTTTAAACAATATTAAATAGTCTCATTATCTTATTTACGCGTGTTTACAATAATTTGTATTTAAAGGTTTCATTATCAAGGATCTAAAGGTAATCATAATCTCATTGTCAAACCCAAACATAATTTTTAGCTTTACAACAACTTTGCTGTTGGCGTCTATCAAGTGTCGTTTATTAAGTTTCAGTTTCAATGCATTAAAAAATGTATCAGATCAGTTGAAAAAATTTATTATAAAAAATGAATTTGCTCGTTACAAAGTTTTCATTGGGATAATTTTTGATTAGAATAAGATTTCGTTAGTCTTAGCATATTGGCTGTTTTTTATTATGATTATTGGATAACTATGTTGAGTTGACCATAAATTCTGTTAAGGGATATTCATTTAATTTTATAGTTAACTCTCTAATTTGGAAAAATTAATAACGATAGATGTAAAGACGTGGAAATGAAGTAAAGTAAAATATTAAGTATTAGTAATAACGGAAAGTGAAAAGGAAAGATTTGAATCGGTATCCGATATGGTCAGCTATTAATCGGTTAAGCCCTTTATTTAATGTCTTGAACTTATTCTTCTTCACTTGATGTTGAGGATGATGTGTCTGTCTCCTCATGTTCGCCACAGGCCACTTTCATTATTTTGTTTCGGCGTCTTTTTGAAAGAGGCGGGTTACAATCGACGTAATTTCGCCATTTCTCCATTTGTCTGTTCAGAGCTCCAATCGTGATCAGAGTTGGTTTGACCGAAGGATATGGAGGAAGGACATCCGGATGGTGGACTCGTAAGTGTCTATCAAGTTGTACCGTCTCTGCAGGTCTGATGTACAGGCACTTAAATATTGGGCATTTAATGGCTTCGGTTGTCATCATGTGTCCTTTAAAAGATGCTATTTCGAGCATTTTCCTTTTGAGAGCTTCCTTTTCATCTGAGGACTTGTTTACTGTGCCCGAGTCCGAGACACCTGTATCACATTGTGGGTTTGGTATAAATTGAGGATTCATGACTCCACTTGATTGGTACTGATGCGAAGGAGCAAGGCGCATACGTTCTTTTTCTAACTCTTCAATGAGTTTCTCCTGTATCTTTATTTTCTTTTCTAGTTTTTCTGCTCGTTTCATTTCTGTAATGTTCAAATCTATAAGTTTTGTCGATTCTTTTTTCAGCCGAATCAAATCACCTCCTATCTCGGCTATCTTTTTGTTTCTTTGCTGAAATTTTACTTTTGATTCCTCATGGTTAGCATGTAGTTCTAGCAGGGATGCGGCAAACTGGTTAGCAATCTGGTCCAGTCGCTTTTCATAATCCATATTTTCCCAGTTATCGATTTTTCTCTTTTTAGTCGTCTTTTCAACTTTTTGGCTCCCAATGTCGACTTGAAATTCTTGCTTTTTCTTCTGTGGATGTATTTCGGAACATCTATCTTTTGGGTCTTCACTCGAAGCGAGGTTTGATTGGTTAAAGTCCGCCATATTGGAGTTCAAGAAATTACGGTAAAAGAGCAATGAAAAACGTTCAAATTGCTTTCTCTTCACTTTTTGGGTTTCACTATGTTAAAGCTTGATGTTTGTTTGATATTGATGGTCAATTGATGATTTATAAATAGATTTTGATGATTTAAATAAGATTTGATAATTTAAAGAATAAAAGGATTCCTAAGTAAAAGCTTATGAACTTTACGCAACATTAAGATTCGTAAAAATGGCGCATATTCTGTTCTTTTGTTTCTTCTTCGGCAAAGGCACAGTGCTGACCTCTATGCCAATGGATGTTCGGTGAGTTAACGTCGTCAGACGTCGTTTTTAAACTTCATAAACTATTGTTATGCATGTTAGTGATATTCCGTTATATTGGTTTGAGCAATAGATCCTTTTCTTGCTTTGAAATTTTGTCATATTTCATCACTTTGATCATACTTGCTGAATAATGTTTGATTTCTTGATTCCTCAGAATTTCGCTTATTTTTCAACTATCGTTCGCTAACTGAAGAGTCGTCCCCTTGCTAATTATTTTCATTTCTTCATGAATAATGTAATATCGTATGAAAATAACACATAAAACACAATTCTCTGTTTGTGAATAGACTTCAAAAAGCAAGAGAAGTCGTAATTGCCAATGTTTTACCCTTCATTTTTTGTCGTTACATATGCATATTCATATCTTAACACTTAAGTGTCGTTTTATTAAACACTTGGTCGCTTAACTGATCTGTAATTACATATTCAGCAGTTAATTATCAAGTCTTGAAGTTATGACTTTAAACAGTACTTTAAATATGAAAGCAATTTGTATCACTTTAATATAAAGGAAGCATTATTGTTTGTTTTTTGATCATATTATTTCGATCAATTACTGTTAGACATTAATTATGTCTGTTATTCATAACTATGTTTCTTTCCCATTTATCTTGTTTCTGTGTTTCCATCCAACTTTTTCATCAACTTTACATTTTCCCGATACATACTACGACTCGACAATATACACTGAGCCGACTGAAGCCTTGAAATATTGGGTTGACATTGATGAGATGTCCAATGTAACTTTACAACCAATACTGTCTAAATCACAGCGTCCTCCTGCACCAGTTAATCTCACTTTTGAATTCCCGTACCATGGACACCCAATAAATAATGTAACCATTGCGACTGAAGGCTTTCTCCACCTTGGTAATCCCATAAAGAATGTAATTGCACCTTATATCAGTAATCCTATTCCTAGTTGGCTTGCAGATATCCAAAACGTTGCTCCATTATTGACTGATTTGTACGAATCATCGTGGTTATACGAATCATCGAAAATTAAGTACGCCGGCAACTCGACTATGTTTGTTGTTCAGTGGGAGAATTTTACATGCGAGGAACTTCCTCAAAAATTTTTCACCTTCCAAGTTTCTCTATTTCCAAATGGTGACATTGTCTTTGTTTACAAGGATTTTCCAGTTTCCTTCCCGTTTACCATTAGAGCTGAACTTTCAGATGGTTATATATTTAATAAAACACTGAGTAAGTTTCTCTTTCCAATTGAAAGGTTTGTTTCGGAAGTAATCTGAGGGGAAGACTGCGAACTTGCTTTCACTACAAGTTTTGAGTTCGTATCTTGGATCACTAGAGATCTACACCTTTAACTTATATGAGTTTTTTGATATCTCCTAAGAGATGAAATACACAATTCATAAAGTAGGAATACTTTGAGTTTACTTGGAAATACTTTATTAAAATAATGGAACTGAATTGAATTTAAGTTGAATCTTGTAATTGAGAGATTTCTTAAGAAATACTGAATTGAACAATGTTAAAGAGGATATTACAAGAGTAATGAATGACTTAGTCAGTGAGTGACTGTAAAGTAAAAATGAAATATGAAAAATTAGGTTTTTATAACCTTCTTGAAACAAAAGAACAGAAATTGGAGGGAATTGAGAAAGAAGTGATTTTTCTCTGTCTAATTGTGTCTGGTTTTGGTGATTTTAACCAGTGACCAAATTTACTCTTATCAGTAATTAATACTGGTAAAGCTACAAGCTTTTTACCCATTACCAATATGTCTTGAGACATATATCTCCTAAGAGATTGTACCTTTGACAATGCAAAGGGATTAAAGAGAGGTGAAAAACAGTTGAAAATGAAGATAAAAAAGAAAGTGATTTTTTCATCTCTTACTTTTGTGCACTTAATTTTCACTCTTAATTTTGGTCAATTCTTTAACCAGAATTGTGGTTAAATTTACATGGTTTTAGAGGCTTTAGACGAGATTATCTTTCAGGATTTGGACATTTGAGAAGGCATTATTTTCAGGGTTTACATAGTTTTCAAGAACTGATTTTGAATATTGGTTAAACAATGAATTTAAGAATTGAATTTAACTGAATTAAAATATTGCTTGAGCAATTAGTTTGAATGAATTGAAACAATTGAAGGTAAATTGAATTGAAAAAGGAATGAATCTCGAGATTCGAATGAATAACAGAAAGGAATTGAATGAATTAACTAAGTTAACTTTTTCTACCCTTCACTTCCCTGAATTTAAGACCATGAAATCTTAGTGAATTCAGGTTTATTGGTTTCTGTTGGATGAATTAGACTCTCGAGATGAAGACCTTTGTCTGGTTGGATAAAATATGTGAGAGCGGACTTGAGAGGAATGAATAGGACGATGGTAAATTGTTGTTGTTGATGATCCTGAAGATCCTGTGGAAGTAAATGAATTCCTTGAATCCTGGGACATTCTTGATGAATTAGATTCAGGCATATCCTTTGCTCTGAGGTTTCTCCATGGACTTGGTGGAATCGGATAGGGAATGACTTTGCCTTGTGCATAATTAACTGGTCTTTCAGCTGAGGAAGTTAAATCGGTTGTAGAGGATGAAGTTGAAGAGGATCCTGAAGTTGAAGCGTATGATATCGGAGATGAATGAGGTGCAGTGGGTGAACTTGATGGAGTTCCTAACAAATCTGCTATAGCTGAGTAAATTGAAGAAGGAGTTGATCGTTGATCAAACTCGATAACTGGAGGAGGAAAATCAGGGGAAGCTTCGGCTGAATTATGTCTTCGTTTCTTCGCAGATGATGAAGAAGACGAAGGTGAAAAGTTTGAAGATATAGCTTGAGCTATTGATTGAGATGATGCTGGCAAAGTTGATTGTTGAGAGAGAGGAGGAGTACCAGTAGGAGTGTGAGGGGAAAGTATTCTTACAGAAGGTGAAGAAGGTTCATCGTCAGATAAATCAATTAATGGGAATTCTTGATTATCTTGAGGTCTAGGAGGAGATGGAGCTGGAGGATTATATTCATAGGTAATGGAATCAATTGATGATGTTGAAGATGCAGATGAATGAACTGAATGTACGGAAACATTGCAGTCGCTGCCATAATTTGAATATTGTGATGAAGTTGGTGATGAGGCTGGAGAGACGCAGGGTGCTTTGAATGAAAGATCATTGTTTCTAAGGACATAAGCCCAATTAGATGGCCAACGAGCTTGATTGTTGCGAACTCGGTTTTGATAGATTTGCAAAA